TATATGTTTTTTAAATGCATTTTATTAATAAGATAGATTGAGACCATTCAAAACAAAAGGATACAAAAACTTTATCAAATTGGGATAAAATTGAAATATTTCAAAATCCATTTAGCAAAAGATATGGATAAAAATTACACACTATAAAACTTAAACGATCAAAACAAAGTAAATATCATAAAATAAGGACAAAAAAAAATTCACCAAAATCCAAAAGGGGCCTATGAACAATAAGACTAAAAAAATACATTACGCATAAGGCAAAAACAAAAACCAAACATGATAAAATTTTAATAACAAAAAAAAATTCACAAAACATGAATAAAAAATGAAAGAAAAGTTTTACTAAAATCCAAAAAGATTTAGAGAAATTGTATTTAATTTTAGTCTAGTAATGATAAAAATCAAATATGATAAAAAAATCAATAACTAAAATAAAGAATAGATTTCAAAATAGGAATCAAAACTAAATGAAAAGTTTTACTAAAAACCAAAAAAGTATTCATTGTAGGGAAAAAAATCAAATATGATAAATCTTTAATGACTAAAAAAAAAAAAAGATTACAAAACAGAGACTAAAAAAAATATTAAACGCCAAAATAGGGGCTTAGCTACACTAAAAATCTATTTTGTTTTAGTATATTTACTAGCATAATATATGTACGTTGTCGTAGGTAAATCTATATAATATTTTTTATTATTTTAAATAATTAAAAAATTGAGGAGTAAAATAAAAATTAATTAACACTAATTATGAGAAATTTTTTAATTGAATTTAATATATATATATAATTGATCAATAACCAAAAAGAAAAAAGAAAACATACAATTAATTATTTATTTATTTTAAAATCAAATTATAAGAATATGGTAAATCAATTTATATTAGAAGAATGTTTGATTTGGTTAGTGAGTCTATAAAAAAAAAAAAAAGAACCATTAATTTTTTTAATATTTTAAATAATTAAAAAATATAGGCATAAAATAAAAATTAATTAACACTAATTGTGAGAATTTATTTGACTTAATATATATATTTCGTAATTGAGTTTAAATATATTATAGAAATATTTTTTATTTTGATCACTAAAAAAAACTTGCAATTAATTAATTATTTTTTAAAAAAATTAATTTATATTATAAAAGTGTTTAATTTTAGTTAATTATTCTATAAAAAATAAAAAAATATTTATTATGGAAAAAAAATTATTTTGATTAAATAATAAAAGCATAAAACATAAAAATTTTATTTTGAATAAATAATAATTAATGAAAAAAATATAAAAAAGAGGCTTGGTTGGGCTAATACCAGACACATCTATATGGGCCTAGAGATAATGGGTCCATATAGCTGGGCTAACATCAAGGGCATTCGTATGGATCTGGAGAAAACTAGGCCCACAAGACTGGCAAAACACAGCTATAAAAAAAAGAAGTTTGAATAAAATTATAAATCGGAGAATCAAAGTATAAAAAATTGGACAAATTAACCAAACATTACCCTCTTTTTTTTTTTTTTTTTGAAAAACGATATCGTTTTGAGACAAAAAGAACTCAAAACAATACTGTTTAAGTTCACTGTGGCAGAGCTTAGCCACAGTGAAACCATATATTGTTTTATATTATTTATAATCATATAATTGATCTATTAGGTGCTTCGAAAAGTACAGAAGTGGTGGAAATTGTAGTTTCCCTCTTACGTTCCAGATTTGAGAAAATAAAAACCTCTGCTAAAAATTGAAATGCATTTGTCAACACTAAATTGACGTTTGCTCAAAATTGTGAAACTAGGGATGCATTGCCATGTTGTTCCCGTGGCTAAGGAAATCGGACGAATATGACTTGGTCTATGGATTTATATGATATCAACTGCAGTTATGTGAATTCTTCTAACCATTCTCAGAAAACGAAGAGTTCAGAATGCATGAAAATGATATGCATGTTCTCCACTCCAACACACACACCGATCTACAGCAGCAAAGAACTCCCAAGACCAACAAATCTCTCATTTGGTCGTGAAACTGAGAGGAAAAAAAAAGCCTATAAACTATGTACAGTCTAATTCAGATTCTGAAAAATCCTTTCTCCTTCAAGCTTTCAATAGTGTCCCTGAGAGTCACCTCCAGTGGAATGAAGTTGATACCAAAAGTTCGTGCTTTCTCTTTGGACACCTGGTATAGGAAGAAAATTTTGATATAGTCACATCTGCAATAGTTGAACAGCATAGATGCTCACGTGTAAGATAGGTCAAAGAAATTTCGTCAAGGGAACAATTCAGAATAAAAGAAAAGTTTTATCCGAGATTGAACAATTTGTGTTTTAATTAAAAACCAGTTTCTAATTTCATATTTAAAGCCTAGTTATTTTCTTAATTGTTTGATTTGATAGTTTGCTTTCTAAACAGGAGGCTTCTAACATGGTTCTCAACATATTTCTCGTAATTAATCTTAACTGTTGATCTGAATAGATCACATTACTACATAATTACTATATATCTGTGGCCTTTTTCTCCACGGCCAAGCTAGTGTCAATCACAACTACAAACTGATTGGCTACTAACACAGAAGGATTGGTCATAATCAATTTGGCAAGGTTAAAACTACATATTTCAAATTAATATTTCAAAAATACAAAACTTTCATAATTGAAAAACTTTTTCAAGCATTTTGCTTTTCTTTAATCATGTTAATGCTTAAACTTATGTGTGTGATTCAATAAGCTCTCGGATACATTGATAATGTATCAAGAATAAAAAAACACATCTTTTATCTTTTAATAGATAAGTCAAGATTGACTTCTAGCAAAGCATCATGACTACCTAATTCTCTAGAAGTATTAATTAATATATAGTTACATAAATCACTTAAGTGCTTATTTTGGCATCATCATGCTAATAGATATGATATCTCCTATCGCTATCATATAGGATGAGCATAGTCAATGTTCATTCTTAACCATGCTATAATTTGGGACATTTAATGCTACAACTTGGGACATATAACAATATCATTTATGTGCATCAATATTTGTCTCGCATCTTTCGATCAATCACTAATACAAATGCATATCGTATGAACTTCTATCTAATTCTAATCGATGAATAAATGTAAATGACAAGAATTAATAGAAAGAATTCTTTAATTATAAACAATATAAATAATGTAATAATAAGTCAAACTCATCCAAACAATGTTGGATCTTGAACACCTGCACTAACACGGACTATCAAACTGAAATGATTTTATATATTTTATCCAACTCGCAACATAATATAGGTAAAAAAAACTAGTTTTCACTATTTTAGAAACATTGTTTGGGAAGAAAAAAAAAGGTGCTATTACGAGTCACATTTTTAGAAAATGCTTAAAATGATGTACATATGTTCCACTCCAACAAGTCTACAGCAACAAAATGGAGAACACCCAAGAAGAGCAAATATGTAACGGTTGTCAATCAAGAAACCTCACCTAAAGGGTCACGATCAAACGGGTCAATATTAAAACTCATATCTTTTTAGTTTTTAAAAATTTGAATTTCTAATTTAATCTTATTTATCTTTAAATATGTTAATTTAAAATATGTCATTAATAATATATAACCATAAGATTTCTTATTAACATAGCAAAAACGTTATTTTAAAATTTCATCATTTATAAAAACATCTCCCACCATAATTAACATTCCTAAATAATCTTGTTCTAATATTCATACTCAAATTCTAAGTAAAAATTTTCAATATTCATAAGTTTAACATCCTTATATTTATTATTTTAAAAATAAATATTCATTTAAAGCATAACTTAATCGTTAGGGACACACAAAGCAGACACATGAATCACTAGTCACCAAGAGCGAGCATCAACATCCTTAACATCCGCATCATTATCTACACTACAAAATGGACGTGAGATACAAATATTTCAATAAGTGTAACATACATAATTTTACATTAAAACTTTTTATGCATGAATGTCTTCAAAATCCTTTTTCTCATTTGGACCCATTAGAAAATACTAACATCGACTATCGAGGTCTAGCCTCAATAAATAAAAAAATGCATAAAAGATTAATTGTTCTTTTCTTGAATATACACTCCATATAACATAAAAAATTAAATTTTATTATTTTATCTCTAATCATTTAATTTTATTAATTCCTATTCTTTTCTTGTAATTTCTTTTAAATCAAAAACCCTAATTAAATCATCAACTCTATTTTAATTTATTCAATTCTCCTTTAATTACATTCTTATAATCTACTATTATTAAATTTTAACTTAACATTTTAATTCTTATTTAAATGCACTTAATTATCAAATATTCTCTAAAAATTTAAAATTTTAATAATAAAATATAATTTTTACATAATCAATTTTAAATCTTGAAATTTCCAACTCAATTTTACCTAAAATCATATAAAAAACAAATAATTAAACTAAATATTTTTCTTATCTTGAAATTTAATCACCGAGACTTGAATCTTTTTTCAAATATTTAACCACTAACCTTCTTCTTTTATAACTTTTTTTTTCTTTTATGGTCATTTATGTCTCAACTTTAATTTAATATATGTTTCAAAAATTTTGCTCTCCTTTCATAACCATTAGCATTCCATTTAAAAAACCATTAAAACTTATTATTATTTCATTATTATTATTATTATTATTTTATCTATTATTATTATTATTATTACTATTTTAATTCTTTAATTCCTAATAGCTTAGGCTAGAACTCATCCATATCTATAAAAATATAATTTATAATACCCAAAAATATATATTATATACTAAAACTCCATACCTAATCATTCCATCCTCTAAACACATAAAAACATTAAATTGAATACACAAATAAAGCATATTTGTGTATATATATATACACACAATATATTATCATGCAAAGTTCGGAGGTATTACAAAATCTGTCAAAATTAAATTTGATTGTGAAACAGATAGGGATAAGTACGTTTATTACAGTCCTTCCCATTAAATATAGCCTAAATCAGATTTTCAGAAAGCCCTTCTCCTTCAAGCTCTCAATAGTGTCTACAAGAGACACATCCAGTGGAGTGAAGTTGATACCCAAAGTCTTTGCTTTCTCCTTGGACACCTGGTATGGCATGGAGTTGTCTTCTTCACTTCTGCAACAGTTGAAAAACAATATACAGGTGCTTGATTCTGTGATGGGTCAAAGCAAGTGCTTCTAGAGAGCAAGCCAGCACAAAAGAAAAATGGTTATTCATCCAACCCCAGTATAAGGCAAAAAGTATAGGGCTTACTGGTGATTACACATTTTTGGTTTTGAAAATGTAGCTCTAATTTCATTTGTCTCTTTTCAGATTTATCGGTTGTCCCCGAAGAGACTAGCTGCACTTTCATGTTCAAAGTAGACTTCCATTTTAATTATTGCTTCTTTTCATGGTTAGTTTCTAAAGCAGGGAAAGTGTAAGATGGTCCTTAACACATTTCTCATAGCTAATCTAAACTCCTGATCTGAATTGGTAGCATAACTACAGAATTATCCCCCTCCCTGTCCAAGCTGGGCTTAGACATGAAATCCTAGCTACAAACCATTGGCTACCAAAAATAAATCAATTGGATTAATCAACAAGACCAAATTAACATGAAGTTTGTTCAAATTGATCATAATAAACAACTCACTTTTGAGGAAGGTGCAAAGTAGGATAATTTTCATGGATGATCTTTAGAACCTCAGAAAAGGTTGTGACATGTGCTGTCAAACAATATCTCCCACTAGCTGAAGGAATTTCAAAAGCTTGAATATGTGCATTTGCAACATCTCTAACATCTATGCACCTATAATTTGCATTTGGGTATGTCTCACCTCCTGCATCCAAACAGAATATATCATGAAAATTAAACAAAACTTACAGCCAGTAAGGATTAACAGTTCAAGAAACAGAGTTATAACCCGCTATTAAGGACAGATTCAAAATTTGGTAGTCAATGAACTGATCATTTAATCATTGCTAAAGTGATTTGCAAGAGAAGATGCACAGTATGCTTCCGGGTGGAAACTGATTGTCTCTGTCACAATTCGCAACCCTATATGCAAGAGAATGTCGGCAGATTACGATGATGTTTTTGGCAAATCTATATGAACTTGCAACGAAATGCAACAAACACAAATCAGTAAAGCCTCAACAAAATGACAAGATAACATGGGATAATTTCTCAAGAAAGCAACTCGTATCATAACAAAAGATAGTGAAACGACAAATGAGGGATAACTTGCTCTATCAGTTGGAAATGTAGAAACCTTCCATTTAGATTTTTCCCATAATGGAAAGTTGCTAAAGGATTGTCAAGTTGGATGGAGCAAGGATCAAGATCATTACCATTAACAAGGTTGAGAATCATCTCCACACTGTAATTAAGAGTTGGCTGTAAAAGAGGGCCAATCACAAATGATGGATTCATTATAACCAAGTCAGTTGCATTCTCTTTTGCAAAATTCCAAGCAGCCTCCTCAGCCAAGGTTTTCGAAAGCGGATACCAAGCCTGGAAAAAACAAATATTTACATAGCCAATAATAAGTGAACAGAAACAGAAAACAAAATGAAAGAAAGAAAGATTTAGGTTTCGGCTAATAGAGTAATCCCCATGTGGAATTTTGAAAAGAACGCAATTATAGTCTAAAAATTTCTCTAGAAAGGGGAAAAAAAAACTTAGGATATCATCAAATAATAGCTACCTTCAATTCCTCACAGATAACTGGATCTGAATACCAGGTCTCATCAATCACCACATCAGGGTTCAGAGGTTTTCCACTATATACACATGCTGCGGTTGAAGACGTTATAATCACTCTCTTGATAGAATGAACTTTTGCACATGATCTAAGAACATTTAATGTTCCTTTCAAGGCAGGATCTATGAGGTCAAACTGTAAAGCAGAAAAAATCATGGGAGGGTTATTATTATATTTATTGTTATTATTTTGTTTTTTTTTTTAATTCGCATCCACAGTTTTGTAACAGTGACCTATCAAGAGGTCAATTAAAAAAAAAAGAAAACCTAGTTTAAAGAAGGATGTTTCAAATGAATCGATGGAATCACTTCTTGTACGTGTCACTAGTTATTCTTTGAGTATTATAAAATTACTCACAAGTAAACAACCCTAATCAGTTCCTTACCTCTTTATGACTAATCCATTAAAATTTAGTCTTTCAATTCCAAACAGGAGAGATGATGGTCTTTTATTTTCTTTTTATCCCTTTTGGGTTGTCTCTGGGCTATTATTCATAGATTGTTCTCAGAATGAATCAGAAAAATTGTGTCTTGGACTTAATACTTGAGAATCCTATTTCATTTACGTGGCTTTGCCATTAATTATTTACTTTTCACCCCTGCATTAATTCTCTTTTACCTATGTAATTTCTTTTTCTTGTGCAGTTAAATTCTTTGATATAACAGTTCAATGCCACCGATTGTTGACTTGGCCCAAGTCCCCCATGAAAACAAAGAAGAACCCCGCCATTCACCAGCTAAATTACTAATAATGACATGAGTTATTATGTGATTCTAGATAATTGATGCTAAGCGGCAAGAAATAGCAAACAATTGCAAGATTGGTGGCAAATAAGATAAATCAGTAATAAATGATAGCATATACGAGGGAAGAACCTGTGGGTCGCCAGTGGGTGAGAAAGAAACAGGGGAAGCGGTATGAAAAACACCTTCGCATCCATCAACAACAGGATCAAAAGACCCTTCTTCCAATAAATTAGCTTTGAACAAACGAAGTCTTTCCTTAGCTCCGTCAAGAGCAAGTAAGTGTTCAGCTTTCTTTGGATCATCTGTAACAAAATAATGTCAAATACAAAAGTGACCATATTTAGCTCGAAGAAAGAGAGAGAGAGTTACTGACTTGGGTCACGGACAGTGGTTTTGACGGTATAGCCACGTTGAAGCAAGAGCTTAAGTAGCCATGATGCTATGTAACCTGACCCTCCTGTTACACACACCACCTTCCCTTCTCCTCCTCGACTCATCCTCTCTGTGTCAGTGTCAACTGCCCCGGCAACTAACAAGGGAGCTTATTCCTTATTATTATATGAGTCGATATTTATCTAGTAGTTGGTAAAAGTAGGTTGCTTTGACATGTGTTTTGTTGGTGATGTAACTGATGAGGTTACTGAAAAATCCAAGTTATGAGTAAATTATAAATTAGTCACTTTCGTTCAAATAAGTTAATTAGTCCTTTTTATTTTAAAAAATTGGTTATTTAGTTCTCATATTTTGAAATTTACTTATAATTTAGTTTTTTTTACTCTTTTTTTAATTTATTTTATTTTTTTAAGAAATAAAAAAATATGAAAAAATAAAAAAATTGATGATAAAATAAGAGATTTTAAGAAATAAAAATAATATTCAATTAAATATGATCAATTATGATTAAAGGATTAAATAATAATTTTTAAAACAAATATGATTAATTAATTTGTTTCTTAAAACTAGAGGAAGTAATTTCTAATTTATTCTCCAAGTTATTGATTCTGTCTAATTAAAATTGGATTGATCGAGCCGATTTATAGTATAAAAATTGAGTTTGTTTTAAACTGTCACTATTTTACTAGAAAAGAAAATTATAATTTCCTGGTTAGCTCAAATTAACAACTCTCTGTCAAAAATCATCAAGAAAAAAAGAAAACTTAGATGCTAAATTCAAGTAAGGCTCTAAATCATCAATTTGCTACTTTGATCGATAGGTATATATTACAGTATTGAATTAAGTTATAGATTTTTGAATTAATTTTTCTTATGATATTCGTATCAATATTAATAGCAATTAAATGAAATTTTTTACTAATATAAGTTAATAGTATATTGCTTTTTCGGATATTCATTCTATATGCTTTTGCTGATCCACCAATCTTGGTTGTAAGAGTGTCCGGTAGTAGTTGTTTTCAAATTTTAGCAAGTTAGTAGCACTGCGGGCATGCTAAATACCTTCAACCGTGCTTTGTGTTAATACGGATTATTGAGAATTTATTTTGCAAATAAATGCTCTATGACAAAATAAATACTCGTGTGTCTTAATACCCAAAAAATAAAATAAAATAAAGTAAAATAAAAGGCTTGAAGCACTAGTATTTGTAGATTGATAAAGAAGTTTTATGAACCTCCATATTGTCAATTGGCAACTGCAACAAGTGTTTTATTGTAGTTCTGTTTTTGTTTTTCAAGTGCTTGTCCTCCATGCTTGGAATCTATAGTTATACAGTTTGAAAGAGAAAAATTAATGAAAAAGAAAAGGCCTGAAATACAATAAGGAAAGAAGGAAAAACATTAATATCGTATGTGTTTGTGTTTCTGTTGGTCTGAGAGAGGGAAAGTCACTCGTTCAGCTGATTTGATTGAAGATTCTATGCTCGATGTTGATTTGGATGCAGAAAAGTCATATATATATATATATATGATATATATATATAAAATAAAAGTGTCTTTGCTATGAATTTATCATTTATTTTTTGCTGTCTATAATGACCTAATTAAACGATTGAATGATATATTTGATTAAATCTTTTGTTGCAACAAATAAGCTGAAAGACACAACAATTAATCTCAAAAGAGCGCACTCACTGTATTTTTTTTCATGCTTTCAAATAACATGGAACCATAGCTACACAACCTAAAACCTTAAAATAATGAAAGAATAGTACACATCAAATCGAGATATTATAGGTACATAAATATTTTTTTAAAAAAAAAATGCTAACCTGTGATAGACCAACAGGAGGATATCAGTCTAATCCAAACCAACCATAACAATATAGCAGGAACAAAAACATCAAAGACAAATCAGCCATGACAAAGAAGACACGATCAATATAGGTAATAAGAGAGATGTCGAAGTAGAAAAAAATCCAAACACAAACGAAATAAAAAACTCCAAAGACAACAAAAGTCACCCTCAACCCAGCACACGTAAGGAAAAAATAGGTCAATTCTTAATAGGCAGAGAAAAAAATGAAAACATAAAGATAAAACACAATAGGCAAATAGTTTAGCGCAGAACCTAACCTAACCTAAAAAGGCTTCATCCCCCCCCCCCCCCCAAAAAAACAAGCATTATATTTTATTTTTTTTGAAAAGAACATTACAAAATTTGGTTTTAAAAAATAAAATAAAATACTAAACAAAGAACAATGGGTCTTATGAACATCGGAGGAGAGCTTAAAAAAAAAAAAAAAAAACCTAATCTTCATAATCAAAGGGTTAGATGAAAAAAAAAAAAAACAAAAACAAAAAGTTATTGTCCAGCTAGAGGGCCACAATCGGTTCACATGGCAATCAATCAAACCAAGAAGAAAAGTTAGAGAGGAAAAATAATGATAATTATCAGGCTATACATCTGAAGTATTTATCTGGATGAAAACTAATAAAACTGAGTCGAAAACAATTGAGAGAGGACGCAAATGAACCAAAATTGAGCTCATTTCGTACAATCTTGTCAAGGAAACATTAAATTTTACAGGAAGCAATTATATTTTGGGCCATCAGCAGTAGGAATCTCCTCTAGCAAATGAAAGAAAGAAGAAGCTTATTGCAGTGCCAAACAACGCACTAAATGCTCATAATTTAATACTCTATCCAAGGACACACGATAAATGACAACAAAGAACACATAAGGCACAAAGAGAAGGGATTCAGTAGAAAACGAAAACATAAGAGCACAAAAATACTGAACTACATAAGATAAATTAGATAAAAAAGAGAATGATGAAAAGACAATAAATTACCTCAAATATAGATAAAAACATAAGATTGTCTGGCGATGATTATTATTCAGTTTAAATCAAAAAACTAAATCGAAACAAAATATCAATTTCGATTTGGTTTTTAACTAAAAAACGAATTTATTTTTTTATTTACTTTTCAATCGTGTTTGGTTTTAGGAATTTTTTTATTTCGTTTAAACCAAAAAAATGATTTTATTTTATCTTTCTATTTTTTAAGTTTTAAAATAATACAAATAAAGCAAAAAATCAATATCTCAACATTATTATAGATATATGATAAATTGATGATTTTTTTTACCTAATTATATTATTTAAAGAATTTCGAAAAAAAAATCGATTTTAACCAAAAATCAAAATTTAGATTTCTAAATTAAATAGTAATTTGGTTCATATTTTTTTCTTTTTGGTTTTGTTTTTATAACTTAAATTAACCAAAATTCGAACTGAAATTATTAAAAATCCAACCAAAAAAATGAATAATTACCCCTAAACGTGCCCACCAAAAGCCACATCAGAATATATATATCTATATAAAAGCCCGATAGCAAAGGAAGGGCAGATCATTAATCAAAGCCCACCACCAAATCATGATATATGCGAAAGAAAGTATACAACAATTAGTGTGATCTTTTACCTTTTTAGGGGTGTTTGTACTAACAGGACCGCATAGCGCAGTGGATTAGCGCGTTTGACTTCGGATCAAAAGGTCGTGGGTTCGACTCCCACTGTGGTCGCCCGTTCACGATGAACATGTAAGAATTTTGAGTTCTTAAATTCTTCCATCAACATTCGAACTCAAACCAGGCCTTGCTGACAACATAATTCACAGTGGAGTGCGTATGAGATTTACAAGATACTTTCGATAACATTTATTCTCAGTGCAAAAAAATCCCAATATTTGAGTTTTAGCATAATTCAACATTAAGAAAACCCTTCTCCTTCAAACTTTCAATGGTGTCCTTTACAGTCCTGTCCAGAAAAGTGAACTCAATTCCCAAAGTTTGTGCTTTCTCCAACAATACCCAATATCTCGGCGGAAAGGGCTTGTCATCTTCGCATCTGTAATGAAAGAAAACATACAGAGATACGAGAAACTGCTGTTACAAAAGCACTCTTTAAAGCAATGCTCATTTTTGGTTTGAAGTATGCTTCTATAGCCGAATCATGCATAACAAAAAATTCAGGACTATCCATTCCCTCTCATGCTATCTCACTTGGATACCACATCAACCTGTCAAGATAATCGCCTGCCTCTAACAACCAACACAGTCCTCCAACTCTCTCAGCGTCTCAGAATTAACATCTGAGTATCAAACATCCCACCAAGTCTCCCTCTTTTACTGTGTCTCTCCTTATCACTCCAAATAAAAATTCGATGCTTCGGTTATTTATTTCCAAGGCCAATGTGAATGGCATTCATCATAATTCAAACAATAACTCACCTTTCAGGAAGATGCAAAGTAGGGTAATATTCATGCACAATCTCCAAAACCTCAGAGAAGTGTCCAACTTGTCCAACTATACAATATCTCCCACCAGCTGAAGGTATTTCAAAAGCTTGAATGTGTGCATATGCAACGTCTCTAACATCGACAAATCTATACATTTCATTAGGGAATGTAGCTCCTGCAGGAAAAAAACTTGCTCAAATGAGAAGAAACCATTTCGAATAACTTGGCCACCCAAAAAAGTTATATTTGGTATTTACTTGTTAATAATTTGTCCAAATACATCTAGTCACGAAGTAAGTTCAATTATGCCACTCAACCTATGTTAAATGGATCATCTAAGAACTAAATGAGATAATACTTCTTTTTAGTTACCTCTGTCACTGTACATTCTCCATATTGTGTTTCTTTTATATCATGTGGTAATATATTGATGTAAACCTGTATATTTATGATATATTGATGTAAACTTGTGTATTTATGCTGCAATTTCAAGCCTCTACCATGAAGTATCTATAAATGCACCAGAGGTTCTTAAGGAGTTGTGTAAATCCTGTACTTTTTTTCAAGAAAAGGACACACAAGAATTTCTCAGGTGTAAAACCCTCAAATCTAAATAAAGAGTATGAAACAAGAAATGAAGGACTTGATGTCTAAAAAGAAAATGGACTCATGAATTGGAAATAAAGCATCCCTAAGTAGATCATCAATATTCAATGCTATGTTACATGGACTTCCATTCTGGTGTCCAATGTGAGTCTCGTTCAAATTTTGCATCCATACAGCAAACTCCTTAATTTTTTGTGTTTAAGAGCCCATATGACAACATCCCTATCATGTAAAGTCTAAGACTTGGAACTTCAAGCTGAAGTGAAAGGTCTGGATAGAGCAGGATGTATGAGGGGTCCTACAAAAGAGTTACTGGGTATAAAGTTGAATCAATGCTCCTACTGTAATAGCACGTTCTGGTTCATTCGTAATAAGACCAGACCAGTATTTGCAGTAGTGGAATCATATACTAGATTCATCTTTATGCAAGGTTTTTGGATAAATTTATGAGCTTGAGAGGACACAAGTATCTTACACTCAAAACTTCACATGGAATGGCAAGTTTGTAGAAATCATCAATAGCTTAGGAAGAATACCAGTAATGTGGTTTAGAAACTTCTCCACAGTGAAGTTAAGTGTTGGCTGTAAGAGAGGACCAATCACAAACCCTGGATTCATTGCGACCATGTCGATTCCATATTCTTTAGCAAATTTCCAAGCAGCTTCCTCGGCTAAAGTTTTTGAAGCCATATACCAAAGCTAGAAAAACCGAAATAGATGTCATAAAGACAAATATTGCTATATTAACTTCTTCTAAATTGTATCTGGTTAAATATCAAAGTTCACACATTCTGTTATCCAACTGGGTTCACTGTTAACTCACTGCTTGCATGTGAACTAAGCATGAGCCAACTGATTCTCTCATATATAACAACATCAAGTGAAACCAACGCCAAATAAATAGAGAGATTGCATTATTGAAACCAGAAATATACACACCTTCTTTGACTCACAAAAGGCAGGATCCGAAAACCAAGTCTCATCCACAACCACATCAGGGGTCAAAGGTTTTCCATTGAAAAAAACAGATCCCATAGAAGATGTTAGAATCACTCTCTTGACAGAAGGAAATTTTTTACATGACTTGAGAACATTTAGAGTTCCCTGTACTGCAGGTTCAATCAAGTCTGCCTGAAATATGAGGCATATAGAAACCAATGGTAACAGCTTTTTAGCACACAATAGAGGTTCTATCAATTAGTATTAATGTCATCTGGCATCAAAATGAGTTTGATTAACTTGGATATTGTGAAATGGGAAAAGGAGTGGAGTCGAAACTCGACATGAAAAAGATTACCTGTGGGTCATTTGTTACGACAAATACAGGAGAGGCCATATGAAAGACACCATCACATCCATCAATTACAGGATCAAAAGACCCCTCTTCAATCAAATTTGCTTTAAACAAGTGGAGTCTTTCTTTAGCTCCAGCAAGTGTAAGTAAATGTTCTGTTTTCTTTGGGTCATCGATGACACACATATATAAACAAAATTGGAAAACCAAAAGACAATTCCAACGAAAACCTTAGTAGTAATCACTAATATCAAGTTAAAATTATACACTGATTGTGTTGAGGAAAACAAAAGATCAGACCCAGAATATGAATAATGAAAATTATGCACAAAAAACAAGCAGATTATAATGAACTGAAAAGAAACAAAGAAAGCTAGAACGAAATAGATAAGTTCACTAACTTGGATCACGAACAGTGGCTTTGACAGTATAACCGCGCTTGAGTAAGAACTTGACTAGCCATGAAGCTATGTATCCAGACCCTCCAGTGACACACACCACTTTTCCTTCTCCACTCATTATCAGTGAGAGTGAAAAGAGTTGGATCAAAGAGCTTCTGGCTCAAACTGGAAAATATAAAGATAATTACGATTTTGCGAGACTCGAAGAGTAACTGGACTTAACTATAATAAAAAATATATATATATTTAGTCCCAAATATTTGAAAACCTATAACTTGGTCGTCAGCTTGTGTCACGTTCGGGAAAAAAATAATAAAAAAAATAAATGGGGGCAACACTGGCAGTCTGCGTAAACAATGATTGAGCTAAACTTAACTAAAGAGTAAGTTATTGTTTAGTCCTTAATTTTTGAACTGAGAGTATATTTAGTCCCAAATATTTGAAAACCTATACTTTAATCCCTTAACTCTTGTTTACCGTTGTCTCTTCAAAAAGTTGACTGGCTTTTCAGTCAACTATCTTTTATAGGTCTTACCCAAGAATTTAAATATTCAAATGATATATTTGAAAGTAAGAAAAAATCGTAATTATTAAGAACATTAGAGTTCGAATCACGATACAACATTCAAGATGAATTCATCCGGTATTGAAAATGTACTGAATTGTTAATATGTATGTTTATAGTTAAAAGATTAGATTCTATCAAGAAGGAATTTTATTTTAATCCAGATTTAATACTTGATCTAGTATATAATCTTAAATTGTTTTTAGCCAAATAAATAAATAATAATAATAATGAAAAGATCCTAATAATTGTTTCAAATTGTTTGAAGTTTCACCAAGATTATAATGAGTAAATTATAAATTAAATGAATTAATTAATCTTTTTTATTTTAAAAACAAATAATTTAATCTTTATATTTTGAAATCTACTTATAATTTTGTCATTTTTGCTCTTTCTTAATTTATTTTGATTTTTTAAGAAAAAAGTGAAAAGATTGATGAAAAAATAAAAAATTTTATGAAATAAAAATAATATTAAATTTTAAAAGACTAAATAATAGTTTTTGAAAAAAAAAACTAATTAATTTGTTTTTTAAAACTAGTGGGACTGATTTATAATTTACTCGGATTATATCATATAGAAATGTTCTCGAAGTTCAGAGATTACCCTGACTCCCAAGGCAATAGACAAGACATTTCTTAGCAAACCAAAATTCCCTCCCAGCACCAATGGGTGTTTAGCCCTGCCAAAGCATCGTCTGCAGGTTGGGGGCCGGGTAAGCGAGACGATAAGACGGAAAAGTCCTCCCAGGTGCATTCAGATCACTACATAGGAATCCAAGTTAAATACCAACTCCATTTGACTCTGTTCAAATAGATTCAGGAATACAAAAATCTTGGAAATTTTCAGGAAGCTCTCAAGGACAACCAACCATTTCAATATTTCAAGGTCAATCTGCATATCATGATATACATATTTAGTACAAACGCAAACCAAATATTGGAATCAACGTATTTGCTAACTTCAGTTTCTTTGTTTTTAATTTTTATAACAGTTGACTCCTAAACATTTCAGGATGGAGAGCTAGCAATAGGGAAAATGAGATTGACAACAATCAGTTCTAGGGTAGAATTTTACTTCCATTTGTCTGGCTTGCAAGCAAATAATTTACAGTCAGAAGCTAACGAAGTTCTTCTCCTTCAAGCTTTCGATAGTATCCTTTAGACTTGCCTCAAGAGGAGTATATTTGACCCCCAGATTTTCTGCTCTCTCTTTGGATACCTCATATTTTGGCATGGGAGGCTCATCATCTGCACATCTGCCATAAACCAAACATGCCAAAAAAATTTAAAAAAAAGTTCGAAATCCATTACAAAAATGCAGCATCTTTGCAAAATAGAGACTGGTCAACGAGTTAAATGCAGGGTATTACAAATATGGATCCTAAATACTGTCTGAAAAAATGCACAAATTGGTATCTAGACAATTAGAGAAGAAATTATAATGTTGGAGCTTTAACCACAACATATGCAAAAAGCCTCAGATAGTTTAATCATTGTCAACAAGGAATTCCTTTGTACATTAACAGTTTAAACTGCACAACTGTAACTTAGTGCATGAAGTTAATGATTTCTACAGATGATTATCCAGAATTCTCTAGTCAGATGTAGGCACAGAATAGTAATCAAAATATCAGACCCTTGACAGTGAACATGTATTTTTCTGTAATTCTTTTTCAGGGAAATCAGTTCATCATAAGAATCAATTTCATATTAGAGAATTAGAAATGAAACCCAGTTGTCTCTATTGAAGAGAACAAGCAGGGTACTGCATGCCATACATCTAAGAAACTTACTGTTCAGGAAGAGTGAGATCAGGATAAAGCTTGCTTAAAATCTTCACAACCTCAGAAGAGTGTATAACTGTCCCTACTAAACAGTATCTCCCAACAGCTGAAGGATTCTCCAAGGCATATATATGTGCATTGGCGACATCTCTAACATCTACCCATCTATAAGTTGTATTTGGATAACTTTTTGCCCCTGCATCAAATAATAATTGCTTGCATCAGGAATAATTGCATGCATAAGAATAATAATATATATGAGGAGGTAAATGCTTTCTTATTAGAAGAATTATGGAGATCAGGAAAAAGGAATTTTATAAAATTAATTGGTCTTGTTTTCTTCTCGACATCAATTGGCTTTGATACAAGAAACTACCTAATAAAGGGTAAGTAGCCCGTGCAGGTTATCTCTCTCATTACACTTCACATTTTGTAAAATCAATTTTGGTAGTTCTAATGCTACCGTGTCATAAGAATTCCATAATGAAGACAATGGAAATGACAATGGGAATAATGTAATAAGAAGAACATATGCAGTACCAAGATTCTATATGCTATAGAAAGAAAAAATAGATCATTCAAAATGTCAAAAATTGTCACTGAAATTTAAACACACTTAAGATACGGTACCACAAGGGAAGGTTCATGAGAAAAAATTTACGAGTTTGTATGAGAATTTATAATGTGGAAAAACAGAGTTGACAGGTTCAATTAACTAGGTGGAAGGATACCCATAAGATTTACATGATTGAGTTTAGGTACTAAATATTATCTCTAACCTCCACTAATAAGTTCCATACAAGGAAATATGCATTAGAACCTTACACAAGTGTGAAAGCCTTTACGGACATGTATCTGCATGAATTTCTACAGTCTATACGTCTAATGTAATCTATCTTATTATGCATTAAAACCTTCCACAGAAAAGTTGCTATGACAAATGGTGTTGTTGCTAATTGGTACTCTTGCTAAGAAAGAGAGGTGAGGTGCCAAGTTTGAATCCCACCTTAAACAATACATCTGGTGTAGAACCATCAACAAGAACAAAAATCAAGAGAATCACTCTCTGAGAGAGAACTCAATTTATTCTGATATTCAATATTCAATGTTTTTCTTAGTGTCTAGGTAGGATACTTATTTATATAGGCTCCAAACCCAAACAAATAAAATAAAAAACTATTAAATAGTCCTAATTCATTAATTGGGTTCAAGATACAGTCAATTTCTTCAGATTTATGCGAATTGCTAGCTACATGAAGATCAAAATGATTGGGAAAAGGTTATTGGATCTGACATTCGAATACCTAATGAAGGAGATGTCATGCATAAGATCATAAAGAAACTCCTCCTATAAGTTGGCTTTTGTTGCTTCAATGTAATCAATTCTGGATTGCAATTATAGCCTTGATTATTATTGCTTTTACATGTTGATTATGCAAGAGTAATTAGAAATTAGCCAAAGCAGAAGTCAGCAATAACCTAGAGAAAGTACGGATTTCATATGGAAAGGGATAAAAAAAAAAAAAAAAAAAAAGATTATAGCCTTGCAATAGGTGAAAAGTACCATTTATAAGGTTAAGAACTGACTCCGCACTTGTATTAAGTGTCGGCTGCAAGAGAGGGCCGACCACCAACCCTGGATTTAAAGAGACCATGTCGATTCCATTCTCTTTGGTGAACTTCCAAGCGGCTTCTTCCGCTAATGTTTTGGAAAGCATGTACCAGAACTGATAAGAAAGCAAAAAAAAAAAAATGGAAAATGAAAGATGTAAAAGGTTTCGGGTCTGCATGCAAAGTGGAATATATAATTTTAGCAAATATGACAATCTATCCAATCCAATCTCAACAAAAGGGCATCATTATTTATATAAGAAAACATAACAAAATTATTTTCCTTACACGTGATAAATCTAGCTATCAAAGTTTTGATAGTCTTATGTATGATTGCAAGAAAACGAACAGCTGAATGCAACTTCCACAGAGTACAGAGAAAAAGAACAATAGGAGAACAATGGAATTAGAAAGGAATGAACAAACGGGGAGTTCTCAAATCGACACAGGATATGTCAGTCACTCCATTCATACATGCAAAATAAGGGAAGAAAAAGAAGAAGAATAGCCAACTGACTTTCGTTATATTGCCAGCTAAAGCCTCCCATACCATGATATAAAAAAATGGCTTTCCAAGGAGATAGTACTTCAATTAGAAATTAGCCATTGACATACCTTCAATTTCTCACAAAAATCTGGATCTGAAAACCACGTCTCATCAACTATTACATCAGGTGCAAGAGATTTCCCATTGTATACAACAGCTGCCATGGATGATGTTATGACAACCCTTTTGATAGAAGGAACTTTAGAGCATGACCTAAGAACATTAAGTGTTCCCTTCAATGCAGGGTCAATAAGTTCTGCCTGAGGGAAAAGAAAAGGAGCAGAAAGAAAAAGATATTATCTAGAAGATTATAGGGATGCTTTTGAATCATTGAGAAAGTGGAAATATACACGAAGAAGTCCTATCGTTACTTTCCCTCTTCACAAGGATATTTTATACAATCAAAGTTGAAATGCTGGCTCTTTCAATTCTGAATGGCATAGCAGAGATTATCATGCAAATGTGGTGCAACCGGGGAAAAGAAGGCAGCAAGATGGAAAAACAAATGTATGGGAAAACACGACTATTTCCAAAAACATATGAAATCAAGCATGTAAGGAATGCCATTATTGGTTGCAATTTGATAGCTGACAACAACTCAACCAAAAGTAAAATTTGAAATTAATTTATACATGTGCAATGGAATATAACAGGAAAGTACCCGGGGATCATTGACAGTGAAATAAAATGGAGATGCAGTGTGGAAAACACATTCACATCCCTCAACCACGGGATCAAAAGATCCTTCATCCAGTAAGTCCGCTTTGAACAAATGAAGTCTTTCCTTGGCTCCATCAAGTGCAAGTAAGTGTTCAGTCTTCTTCGCATCATCTGTGAAACAGAATGCGGCAATAAGTAGGAATCGATGTCTCAAAAGAAGAAATCATTACGCTTTGGAGGAAAGAAGAAGAAGAAGAAGACGTTATTCAGTTTTTCCAGAAGTGCAGAGACTAACAGACAAAAAAAGTGGCATCTGGGCCATAGCTAATTTGCCAAAATGAAATTTGAAGTGTCTCAGCTGGATCCATCATTGATCAGATCAAAAAACGTCTGATTATTGAAGCAATCCCACTAGTGGAACTAATTTGATTGACTCACTACAACCTTTTGGAATTCAAAACTCTACATTCCAACAAAGGCTCAGTCAGACCATCAATTAAAATTGCTGTAATTAAGGATCGCTATTACTAGTTATCAAAGTTATTGAAAGGCATCAAACCACTCCAACACTTCTTGTTTTGACATATACAAAGTTTAAAATTCGGCAAACATCGTACTCTCCGAAAACCCACTATTCCTTCCCAGAAATTCAAGAACCTAAACACCAAAGAAATCAATTAAAAAAAAAATCAAAACTTTGAGAGTAAAATCAAGTTAAAAACAAGACCCAGAATCATGCATCACATAAAAATGGAAGCTAAGGATTGAAGTTGTGAGTCTAAAGAGATTTGAGTCACTACTACTGACTTGGGTCACGGACTGAAGCTTTGACTGTGTATCCACGTTCAAGCAAAAACTTGACAAGCCATGAAGCTATGTAACCAGATGCTCCGGTGACACTCACCACCTTGCCTTCTCCACTCATTCTCTCACTCTGATTTTTTGTCTGCTACTTTTATTAGAGTGAAGAATCTACCTAACTATGCAATCGCTGACGTTTTATCACAGTTAAGACAAAACTCGTGTAATCACATATCGTTGGCTCAGAATACATGTGGCTGGAGGGAAGGACTTGACCCTCCAAATTTTGGGTTGTTAAATTGGTCAAACACATTTTTTTTTTCCTGGTTTATCACATTTAAGAGAAAACTCATGAAATCACATGTCGTTGGCTCAGAATCCATTTAGTTAGAGTGAAGAACTGGTGCTTCCTAATTTTGGATTGTCAATTTGGTCAAGCACATAATTTATTATTATTTTTTTTTTAATGATAATGGGCCCTTCTTAATTATTCTTTCTTTTAAACACATTAGCTTCAGGCTTTTTGTTTTTTTATTAATTTGGATTTCAAAATATGATTTAAAGATTTTTTTTTAATATCATGCCTAATAAAAAGGTATTTCTATAATTGATCTATATTTGTTTATGATTGAAAATGGATGTAATATATAAATAGTTTTGGAAAGCAATAGAGTTAGTAACGATGATTTTTGAAATTCATCGAAGAAATAAATAAAGACTACATCGGTTGGTTCTTGAAATGCATCATCCGTATTTATTTTTGTCTTACTTGAGGGAAAAAAAAAAAAACCTTTCCTTTGAACTCTCGACGTTTTGTGCTGGACAAACCCCTCTAAAATAAATGAAGTTTATGCTTTCTCCGTTAACACCTCGTTGTTTGGCAAAAAAAGCTTCTTATCTTCTCATCTGCCATGAACTCTTTTCAGAATAGCTATATTCACGGTAATTTTGTTTATCTTGGATTGTAAATGTCTTGGTTGAATATCTACCACTAAACAAGCCATTTAGGTCTGATGGCATGTTTACCCATGTGGGAGCTCCTGTCAAGAAACAAATTTCCATGAATCAAGAATTTTAAAGTACTAGAATCATTCCATTGAAGAACCAAGCTACGAAACTTTATGCCAACCTACAAATTTTAATCAGTTTTTGCTGACAGGAAATGGATTGGCTTCCTCTTTCTACAAGTTATACAAAGTAATGCATAAAACAATCCTGGAAAAATAGTAATCTCCCATTTTTCAACAAAATGGACTCCTAGCAGCAGCATATCATTGTGTCAAAATGGAAGGTAAACGCAAATTATTTGCTTTCTTTTATTAGCTGCATCACAAGGTCTTCAATAGCCTAGCTAGTTACCTCAGACATTAAGAAGGCCCTTCTCCTTCAAACTTTCAATGGTGTCCTTTACGCTCACCTCCAGAGGAGTAAAGTCAAGACCCAAAGTTTTTGCTTTCTCCTTTGATACCACATAATTCGGTGCAAAGGGCTTGTCATCTGCATATCTGTAACGAAATAATGTGCAGAAGAACCTTCTCAGAATTGTCTGATTTATCATAGAAAATGAGATATTATATCAAGACTAACATGCTTCCAAAGAACCCTCATGTTTGATTCAAAGTAATACTTACATGCTTGCATAAATAAGAAAAATTTCAAAAATTTCCCTCCATTATCATCTACACCAATGATCAAGCACATGATAACCTATCAAGATTGAGATCTCCGGCAGCCAATAATCCTATAACTCTGACAATTAACTAGCTGAATATTTTCTTATCATGATCTCTAACAAACTTGTATGTTGAAGTGATTTATCAGCGGGGCCTATGTGAATGGCATATACCACAAAGCAAACAACGTTAACTCACTTTTCAGGAAGGGGCAACGTAGGGTAATGTTCATGCGCAATCTTCACCGTGTCAGAGAAGTGTGCAACTATTCCAACTAAACAATATCTGCCACTAGCTGAAGGTATTTCAAGAGCTTGAACATGTGCATATGCCACATCTCTCACATCAACATATCTATAAATTTCACTTGGCAATGTTGGTGCTCCTTGTGTTCCTGCACACAGAAAACCTCAATTGCTCAAGTCAGAGGACATCATGCACATTGAATGATTTGCTTCTTGATAATTTGGCCAATTATTACTTTTAATCATAAAGAAGCTTAAAGCATGCCACACAACCAATGTTAAAAATGGGTTATCTAAGAACTGTGAGATTCTACTTTTCCATTGGATTACTTTGTCACTGGACATTTTACATATTGTGAGTATTACTTTGATGCAAACCTATGTGTTTCTACAGCAATTTCCTGCCTCTACCTTGAAGTTATCTTTAAATGCACCCTATGTTATGGAGGAGTTACGTTACATCCTCGATTTTATGATATCATAATTCAGTAACTGATTTTTCAGTAAGGAAACCAAAAGATAGCATCACCAACGAGATCAGTGCCACGATACATGAACTTCTGTAGTTACGTCCGCTATGGATCTCCATCCAACTATTTTCTTAAGGAGATTTTCCTTGCATTTTTGCATGTACAGCACCATAGGGCCACGGTCGTACTAATTAGAAGTTTAAGATAGAGAACTTAAAGTTAAAATTTGATAAAACAAGAACAATGCAAGGTCTGATGTGGAAAGTAACAAATTTAAATCAATACAGAAAGTTTTAGCAAATGGATGGAAGGATTAGCTAGTATTTGCATTTATAGAACCTTTGCACTAGATAAGTCTAGATTCTTATTTCTTGAAGGTTGCTAGAGGTATTTATGAACTTCAGAGTAAAACAGGTAATAAAAAAAAAGTTAAAGATACCATTAATGTGGTTCCGAAACAGCTCAACAGAGGTATTGAGAGTTGGCTGTAAGAGAGGACCAATCACAAAGCCTGGATTTATTGTAATCATGTCAATTCCTTTTTCTTTTGCAAATTTCCAAGCAGCCTCCTCAGCTAAAGTTTTTGAAGCCATATACCAAAGCTGGAAAACCAAAAATAGATTGGCATGAAGAAAATGTTTAAGATAACTTCCCGAATAATGCTCAATAGGTAGTGATCAATATCAGAGTTCACATATTCTGTCATCTAAATGGATCTAGTACTAGCTCACTTCTCACATGTTAAGCCAGAGCAACACAACTGATTCTTTCATACATAAATCATCTAGTAAAACCACCATTGTGTAAAATAGAGAACTTGAACTGAGAAATCAGAAAGAGGCCCACCTTCTTTGACTCGCAAAACACAGGATCTGAGAACCATGTCTCATCCACTACCACATCAGGGGTCAATGGTTTTCCATTGAAAGCAACCGTTGCCATTGAAGATGTTAGAATCACTCTTTTAACAGAAGGAAATTTCGCACATGACTTGAGAACGTTTAGGGTTCCTTTTACTGCAGGTTCAATTAAATCCGCCTGAAATATGGAGAATATAAAAGCCAATGGAAACATTTTATACAAACAGTTAACAAAATCAATTTGGAATATCATCCTTAAATAATTCAGCAATAGACATTCTGTCATGCTACAATATCAACTATCATTTATGTCATCGATCTGGTATCAATTTGGGTATAACTCGGATCATTAGAAATTAGAAAAAAAACCATTAAAAGATTACCTTTGGATCATTTGCTGCAAGAAATACGGGAGAAGCCACATGAAAAACACCTTCACATCCATCAACTATAGGATCAAAACACCCCTCTTCAACTAAATTTGCTTTAAGCAAGTGAAGTCTTTCTTTAGCTCCATCCAATGCAAGTAAGTGTTCAGTTTTCTTTTGGTCATCTACAATATATATAAACAGAATTAGTGAAGTGATGAAGGCCATGAACTCCCACAAAAACCCTCGAAATTCATCAATATATCATTAGTTGAAGCTAACTATTAATTATGTTGTGGGAGACTACCAGAACATAAATAATCACTATCTAGATCATATTGAGCTAAAAAGAAACAAACAGGTAAAGAATTAAGCTAGAAAGAAAGAGATAAGTGTACTAACTTGGGTCACGAACAGTGGCTTTGACAGTATAACCACGCTGGAGCAAGAACTTGACTAGCCATGAGGCAATGTAACCCGACCCTCCTGTAACACAAACTACTTTTCCTTCTCCACTCATCGTCAGTCAAGAGTATGAGAGAGTTTAGACACAGTTTCTGTTTCACACGGAAAATATTGTACAGATATACAAGAACGGCTAGTTGGGTTAATAGAAAAATACAATAAAGACAAGAAAAAATTCATATGTCTACATTGGTTTTTATCTTGATCTCTCACTTCTGTTAATTTTTATGGCATTAATTAATTTATTTTTTTGTTCATCTTGCCTCTTAACTATATTTTTCTTCTTCTTTTTTTAATCTAATTTAAATAAATAAATTTTAGAAAATAAATAAATAAAAGTGAAAAAAAGACGAAGATATATGATCGATCATTCTCACTGCAAATTGAAAGAACATATATATATATATATAAAAATTGAAGCTAACAATATTTTTTTTTCAAAATATCTTTTAGTGAACTCTACTTCGAGTTACCAAGTTAATCTCTAATGTATCTTAAAGTCAATATATGAACACCGACTCGTTAGAAAATTCATGTCCATCGTTATAATCGAAAACCTTATACTAAACGAGACTTATTCTTAATCCAATTCATTTATTGTGTAGCTTGAATATATGTTAAAAGAAAGAAAAAATATAAATTAGTTCATAATAAAATTAACTAAATTACTCAATTAATTTTAGAGAAAAAATCGAGCGTATACAACTTCCTACACGGATAGCCTTGCAAACAAGGATGCTCGTGCAATCATATATTATGAGATACAGAAAAAAAAATAACCTAAAAACGATTGTGATAGACTTATCTTGAGTTTTTTGACACATAAAAAACAAATACAACATGTAATAGGCTTGCGGCGAGTCTTCTAATGTATAGTAACTACTTGCAGGCTTGCTATGAGCCTCTTTATTCAACAAGCAATGCAATAATCTAATTTTACTAATTAGGTCTAAATCACACACAAAAAAAAAAAAAAAAGATAAGAAAATAGCTATTTAGAGTAGATTTTGACCTTGAAAATAAATTTTTACAGGTTTTCCATCATCACCAAATTGTATACCTTAGAATTAGCCTTTTTAAAATTGATAAAATTTTCATTAAACAACACTCAAATAAAAAATTATGATTCGTTGAGTCATGCACGTTTGTTTTCTTATACAATCTTTTTTGACATTTCAAACCCAAAAAAGAAATTATTAAAAAAATTATAGAAATTTTGCGTACCATCAAATTCCCATATATATATATACACCCCTGTTTTTCAAGCAAAATTTCTGCCTGATAAATTCCCACCTAAAAGAGAAAAAGCCAACAGCCAAAAATTCATAACTCGATATTCTTTAAAAAAAAAAAAAAAAAAAAAGGGCGATGGCTTTGACTTTCATTAAACGGAAGGAAATAAAAAAGTTTATGTGGTTTTTTTTTTTTTTTGACCTAACTGCTCGAACCCCTGAAAGGGACTTAAGGCCTTGGGTAGCTGGGCTTGGTCTTTGTTGAAATGGGTTGGGCCTGTGAAAATTTATTCTTTCATGTTTTAATTTGGTAGAAAAAATAAAATCTTTTTTGTCAAAAAAAAAAAAAAAAGATAGTGAATTTGTAACCAGAATACTCTGTGAAAATTTTGAAATCCTGTCTTAATTTGGTGAATGGTTGTACAAAGAATTAAGACATTTTCTGCCAAGTTTTGGGAATTCCTCATCTGCCAGCTTCAAACAAATTTTTAGCAGATCACAAAGGTGAATTTTAGAAGGCAATGAAAAAGTGAATTTCTAATGAAATGATATTGCTGTCCTTCTTCTACTCACAGTCCAATTAGAATCAAAATGGCATATGATGAGATGAAATCACTTCTCATGCCACTATTTCTATTACTGGCTAGAACGAGATACTACTTTTCACAGCCTCAAGGGACTTTGCTCAAATTAACTGAAGTTTGTGAAAATTGGTGATGCTTACATGCCTTTAACAATTGAAAATGGCTGGTGTTTCAATTATATCTTTTAATCCGATATGTTTACTATTTACACCCAAAAAAAAAAAAAAAAGGCATCTTTCTTTCGTCTTTCACACATACAAAAGACAAACACTGCAATTTGCATTTTCAAGACAAAAAAGAAAAGAGTGGGTATATGCAAAAGCTTAAAAGTGAATTTCTACGTCTTTTCGAAGGGAAAAAAGAGAAAGATTACAACTGTATAGTGAATCAATGGTATTGATTGGTTATCATTTAAAATAGCAGAGTTGAACCAGAAGTCATTCGGATTTGGATTTCAGAAAATATTTGGTTGGTTCAACTAAAACCCTATGAAAAGCAAAACACAAGCACCACTAGCTTTTTGAAAAAAACAAAAAAAACAAAAGTGGTAGCACTAGTCAATTTTATTTTTTAAAAAAAGAAGTATTCTAGAAACAGCACTAAAAGAAACTGTGCCGGCCATACGACAGGAGCGCGTGTCTTCACTTACGCGAAAATACCGCGGCTTATTCTTTCCTAGCCTCCAGGGCATTCTCGTAACTTCTGTCCCTGCTTCCTTTTATAAATACAGCTCACGATCTCTTTTATAAACAAATCATTCAATCAATCAAAAGTCTTAAGAAGCTCTCGATCTTTCTGTCTGTAAGAATATTTTCTCTGTCAAGGTATGTGTAATTCAGCATCAATTCGTTTTTTTATTCTTGCTTTAGTGTTTTAATTGATTGATTAGTAAGGGTCTTCGATTTCTTTTATGAGTTTTGATTTTCTAGTGATTGTAAAATTAGGGTTTCTTTTTGTCTTTTCATTAATTGATTGTGATTGGTGTGTGTGTTTTTTGGAATGAATTCTACGAGTGTTTTAATCTATCGTGGTTTTGTTAATATAGAGTTTGTAATTTTCAGTAATTGGGCCTTGTTCTTTGATTGAAATAATTTCAGTATCTATTTTATAGGTCTGTGAAACTTGATAAACTATGGTTTTGATTTTTTATTTATTTGGAATATCTAACATACCAATACGAATTTACTGGGTTGTTATCTATCATGATAGTTTGATTTAGGGTTTTGTTTTCTTGACAGTTTATTCCTGCTGGTTTCTGGTATTGCTTGATCCATTATTGTAAATTGAGATGTTTTTATTCTTTTATTTGAATGGAATTTGCTCAAATCTTTGGTTACTTGACCTAGAGCATCTGTCTGGTGGGTATTTCTATATGTGTGTGATTAAATAAATTTTTGAACCGTTCTAATCTTGTCTTGCGTTTGTTACATTAGCAGATGCAAATCTTTGTGAAAACTCTCACTGGCAAGACCATCACCCTTGAGGTGGAAAGCTCAGACACCATCGATAATGTCAAAGCTAAGATCCAGGATAAGGAGGGGATCCCTCCAGATCAGCAAAGGTTGATCTTTGCTGGCAAACAACTTGAGGATGGACGCACTCTTGCTGACTATAACATTCAGAAAGAGTCCACCCTCCACTTGGTGCTTCGTCTCAGAGGTGGCATGCAGATCTTTGTAAAGACTCTCACCGGTAAAACAATTACCTTGGAAGTTGAGAGCTCAGACACAATTGACAACGTCAAGGCCAAGATTCAGGATAAAGAAGGCATCCCTCCAGACCAGCAAAGGCTGATCTTCGCGGGGAAGCAACTTGAGGATGGACGCACCCTTGCTGACTATAACATTCAGAAGGAATCCACACTCCACTTGGTGCTCCGACTTCGAGGTGGCATGCAGATCTTTGTTAAGACCTTGACTGGAAAGACCATTACCTTGGAGGTTGAGAGCTCTGACACCATTGATAACGTGAAGGCCAAAATCCAGGACAAGGAGGGCATTCCCCCAGACCAACAGAGGCTCATTTTTGCTGGCAAGCAACTTGAAGATGGACGCACTCTAGCCGACTATAACATTCAGAAGGAATCCACTCTCCACTTGGTGCTTCGACTTAGAGGCGGCATGCAGATTTTTGTAAAGACTTTGACTGGGAAGACCATCACTTTGGAGGTCGAGAGCTCTGACACCATTGACAATGTCAAGGCTAAAATCCAAGATAAGGAAGGCATCCCTCCAGACCAGCAGAGGCTTATCTTTGCTGGTAAACAGCTTGAGGATGGGCGCACCCTTGCTGACTACAACATTCAGAAGGAATCCACCCTCCACTTGGTGCTTCGACTTAGAGGTGGTATGCAGATTTTTGTCAAGACACTCACTGGAAAGACCATTACCTTAGAGGTTGAGAGCTCTGACACCATTGACAATGTCAAGGCCAAAATTCAGGATAAGGAGGGGATCCCACCAGACCAGCAAAGGTTGATCTTTGCTGGAAAGCAGCTTGAAGATGGAAGGACCTTAGCTGACTACAATATCCAGAAGGAATCAACTCTCCACCTGGTGTTGCGTTTGCGGGGAGGAATGCAGATCTTTGTTAAGACCCTGACTGGAAAAACTATTACCCTGGAGGTGGAGAGCTCGGATACTATTGACAATGTGAAATCCAAGATCCAGGATAAGGAGGGGATTCCACCAGATCAACAGAGATTGATCTTTGCAGGGAAGCAGCTGGAAGATGGGCGAACTTTGGCGGATTACAATATCCAGAAGGAGTCCACTCTGCACCTTGTCCTTCGCCTTCGTGGTGGTTATTAAGCTTTTAGATTTGCCATGGGGTTAGAGTCTGGTTTGTGGTTACCGGCCATTGTTGATTGGTTTCAAATAAGATTGTTAACAACTTTTAATTTTTCTTTTTCGTTTTTTTCATCTTTGAACTGTAGGTTTGACATGTTGAAACTTGAAATGGCCTAGGGTTCATTCATTACCTGTCATCTTTGATTTGCTGCAATAAATTTCTGTTTTAGAAGAATGCTTCGTTGGTTTGATTGCGGGTGCAAAAACATTTCTATTATGATGTTGTTAGGTTAATCACTCATAGTTTCATTTGACATGTCAAAAGTCATGACAGATCGTTCTTAGGATGGTGGGATTGCCTTATATTCTAATTTTTCAATTGATTTTTGTGGCACTTCTCCTTAACTTTATGCTTTATCTTTAGTTGTAAATTTAGTTTATAGCTTTATTTCTTTTAGGAGTTTGACTCTGTCTCTTGATATGAATCTCTCATGGTTTGATTTTCTTGGGTTTCTTTGGAGATATTTTACGATAGATTTGAATTGTTTTGAATTTTTGTGGAATCTTCATCTTGAAAACCTATGAAGTTTTATTAATATACTAAAAATAATGTGGTTTCGCTGTAACGAGATCTTGTTATAATGGACCAAAAGGACATCCTTATGCGTTTATTTATTTTTTATTTTTTTCTTTCTTCAAATGATGTCATTTTTCTATTTTTTTTAATATTTTATCTATTTTTTTACACTTTTATCTTTCAAATTTTAATTTTATACGAAAGGTCTCTAATTTCAATTATTCTTATTATAAAAAAGTCTTTTTATTTTTTATGGTTATGATGTCAAGTTTCAAATTTTTTAAAACTTTCAAAAGCAACCAAATTGCAAGACTGTCGTAAATAATAATAATAATAATATAGCAAGAATAATGTGAAGAGTTGCGCACTTCCTCACTAAAAGAGAGGATGTGCACTCTCTTAAGAAAAGTACGATTTTGCACATCTTTTCTCATTTCTTATAAAGTTTCAATATTTGTTCATATACAAGAATTTCATGACAAATATCCAAAGAAATTATCAAAAAAAAAAAAACTTTTTCAAGTTTTTCGCATGAAAGAGAGAAGAACGCACACCTGCTCAAAACATGAGCAAGGGTGCACCTGTTTAAAAGATTTTTTTTTTTTTTTTTTGCATAATTTTGTTGCTCCTCTCTTATGTGATTCATATATTTTCGTATTTCTCTTCAAGATATTTTCATTTTCTTCACTCATTTTGAACTAACACTGTGTCTAATATTTTTTATCCTCTCATTTGATGATTTGCCGTAACCATAAAGAATCAGCCTTTTAATCATGAAGGTCTGAGCCTTGGATTGGTTAATAACTATAATTATTAAGTTTCTAAGATTTCTTTGACAAAGAAAGTATAAACAAGACAATCATTTCAAAATTTTGATAAAACTATTTTGATGGTTTAAACATTTTTATATCATGAAACTATAATAACATGATTTTAATTTATAATTTTTTTAATAATCGAGATAAAAAGTTCTAATTATTTGTCCATCTTAATTTACAATAAATTTATTTATTTATTTTATAATTTTTATTATTTAATTATGTTTAATTTTATGTCTCAAGAACAACAATTCCGTACCAAAATCATACGGTGCACTAGTGCACTACCTGTCTTAAGTACTTTTTGTCATGCATTTCCTCTCTTAAACTCCTTTTTTTAAATTCCTTTTCCTACTTGAAAGGCATCATCGTTTGCTTGCAACATATTCTCAGCTATTATCCTACAAAATTTTCGCATCTCAACACCCTCAAACATCCACCACAAGAAAATTAATATGCTCGAAATTGTGCCTTCAACCTCGCATAAAGGGACAAAGATGGGCGAGGTCGTTCTCACAGGCTAATAGACGAACGAAGTGATTCTCAAAATCCAACAGCGGAGGAGCAACTAGCTGCCCTCCAACAAATAACAGAACAAGTGCAGAAAGAGAAATCAGACATGTCTCCTTCAAACCCAATTCCACGGTTTAAAAGAAGGAAAATCGTTTAAAGCGAGTTATGAGCAAGCGAGAGATGAAGTACTGATGAAAATTCAATCATCGTTAAGCTAGCTATATGCCAAATTTTAAAAATCTGAGTCGTGAATTTATCTGTTTTATTTTGATTTACTAAGCACTTGCTATTTTTACAATATGATAAATACATCTTAAATAATATCTTGTGAGCACTCATTGGCATCACCATAATAATGATTGCATGTCAATTACTACTTAAGAGTGAGTAAATTTATTCGCATGGTTTAACTAAATCATATATAAGGAGAAAGGGAATATTTTTGTTCAAAAATTCTCTCAAGATAGATAAAAGATGTGATTACTCTTATCGTTTTGAATCCATTCTAAATAAATCAAATTGTTAAAATTCGGTGGCTTGTAAAAATTATAACTATCTCGGAGCCAAAACTAACGAAAAAAGGAAGAATGTTTCATTTTTTATGTTATCAATTTACAGGTTAAGAGTGATCCCTGATATATAAATATAGGAACCTGAAAATCAACAGCAAGCCTCAGTTCAACACTCAAAGAAAACCACTTTATGGAACTCAGTTACCATCAAACGTTTTGATATCCATACCTGCTTGAGGATTTAAAAGAATGCAGGACTAATGGATCCAGGCGGTAGAGGGTAGTGAGAAAGACATGTCATGAGGATTTGTCACAGCTCATTTCACGCTACTGGCAACAGTTTCTTCCTCTCCACAACAAGAGCCTGTTCTCAGCAAAACCATGGTTAGCAAAAATACGAACCACATGACTTCACCTCAATACAACATCAAAAACAAACTTACAATGCTAGCTAACGACATTTTTTAACATATATATTTGGATACGCTCAAGTTAATCAAGTTAGATGACTTCTATTGACAGTTAACAATTTACATCACACACAAAAGAAAGTGTAACGATATAAAGAAGTGACAAAGATAACCAGATTCCCCAGCTTCATACCACCACTATGGAATCCAGACATGAAAAATCTTATGAAACCTAAAAAGTAGCAACGGTCACAGGAAGGGTGTTCAGCTTTCAAATTAGTCTCGACTTCACATCTGATTCCCAACTGATAAGGTCTTCGAATCAACAGTTTCACTCTCTGAAAGAAAAAACACATAATAGCCAGTCCCATGTTTGAATCGATGGTTTTACTTTCTTGCATCAAAATCCATTATTAGCTGGTCGCCATAGGAATTCAGAACGTGCTTATCCACCAACCAAGGAAGATTTGGCATCCCTTCCTGCAAGGGCAATGGAAGCGAGCTCATCTTCAAATGATCAAAAGCTAAGTGTGATGTTTTATGGCTGACTGCATCTGATTACACAAATCTTGAATCAAATTGAAAATTAAAAAAGGCCAGTTGGATTTGGAACTGAATGCTATATTTCATGAGCCTAATTCATAAAATCATGAGCACTTGTAAGCTACTACATTATGTTCTCTTATCATGCCTTTTGCTTACAGTTATCTCTTTCCCATCTTTCTCATGTCTTTATTCCTCTCTTCAAAAATTCTCTTTCACTAACAATTTCCAATCCCAACTCACAAGTAGTTGGGCTTTCTTTCTGCTTCTATGGGAGGATCAAAACAGGGAAAGAGGGTCTAGTGAAAGGAATTGAGGCAGGCTGTAAACCTCAACAAATGGAGGAACCTCATCAAAGTCACCACGTTCCTCATAGACCACTCCCACCAACTTATAATCTTCAGTGATGGAATAAAATCCAAGTCCAAGTGAATGCATACAGAATCCAAGAGTGATGAGAGTAAAATTTGGCTCAGGAAGTTTAACAATCTGTCTTATACTAGAATTCCAAAGAAGAGCCTTATGAGCATAAGTGAGAACACCATCAACCAGACAATATAATCCCATCACATGAACCAACAATATTAACCCACTGGTTAACTCTTGAGCACTAAAAAGGGCAATGGATTTCTTGTTCATAGAAATTACGGAAATCCTCATCTGGGTACAAAAAGTAACGGTTTTTTTGCCCTTTTAAGCAACACTTCAAGAAAAGTATGTCGTTGTTTTTGGTGGGGGTGGATTTCTTGAGACGGTGGGTTATGACAGTAGGGCTGGAAAGTAAAGAACACCATGTTTTTGAAACGCACCTGCATTTTAGGAGTGATTTCACCGACAATCTTGAAAGGATTTCTATCACAGCTGCTGGGAGATTATCTGACAATTTTCACCTTCTTGTTTCTCCGCTATCGGAAAATAAAACCTTAATTCTTTTTTCTTTTTCCAACTTCAACTTCTCTGTCTCTCTATCTCCAGTCTCTAAAACCCAACAAGCAAACTGCGCAGTGCTTTAAATGGGCCGAAGACTTCTACGGGCCTTGCTTAAGTGGGTTAATAATTGCCTGTCAGTCCTGCCTTTCGAGATCGTGTGCACTCAACATCCCTTATAAGACTGTTTCGTTGGTTTGTTTGTTTTTTCCTATTTAATAAACAGAAATTAATATCCACAAGAGGATACGAACACAATTCTGTTGGCAAGCGCTTTCGATAAAGCAGGAGAAAAAGTATCATTTTCAGGTTGGGTAATTGTTTACCCGGTTTCTTTTTTCTTTTCCTATATTAAAAAAAATTATCATCCTTAAACTTATTTAACTTCATTCGAAAATATTCTTTATTAACGAATAATTTTTTTTATTACTCAATTATATCAGACTTAATTGAATAAATGAAAAAATTCGAGTATAATAGAATTTTTTCAACCCATCCATATTTGTTTTAATATTTAAATTAGAGGCTTGGGCCTATGGGCAGCCTAATTTCCAAGCCTTTGCTCTAAAAATTATTAATAATAATAATAAAATTATTATTTGGGGTTGATCTACTGGTATACATTATATGCTACTTCATTTCAAATCTCAAAGCAAGGTACGAAAAATTAATATTCTCTTAGATATCGAATGGATTCTCTTAGATATGCATGACAAATATAAAAAATAAAAAAAAAAAATCAATAATTTTGAGTTTCATGCATTTCTAGCCGTGCACTCGTATATATGAAGCGCTTGATCTGTTATGTTGCCTACTACAAAAAGCTTTTGTTAACAGCATAGGCATGAAAATTTCAAGAGATCGGGAAAAAAGTCAAGGTTTCTCGACACAGAAGCAATGTCCTTTCTAATAAATTCCTCTCGCAACAGAATAACAGCAATCAACAATTCAACATTACATCTACGGACTACGGTTCGTACATGGAAGTTCAAAAGAAAAGACAACTGTTTGGTTTATGACTTTGTCGATTTCTTGCCAGTGTGCATAGCTGTTATGTCTTGCACTTAAATGCTCGGTCAACGATTTTGTCCACAAAACCGAAGTAGGAAGCTTTCCATGGTTTCTTGATTGCAAATACGAGCATAGGAACCAGAATACCAGCCGCAAATCCCAGTCCGACACTCAAGTAAAACCACCTGTCAATGAAGCCATCATCACCGTCTTCTTTAGTGTTGGTCCCTCCTTTTCCTGAGTCATCACCTTGGCACTGGAGGACCAGTGGAGGTCCGCAAAGACCGGAGTTCCCAGAAAAAGAGGATGCATCAAAAGTTGTCATCTGCCCCCTATACGGGATCATGCCAGAGAAGGTATTGTTGGATAGGTTCAGGTAGCCTAAAAATGACAGTGCTGACATGCTGGAAGGAATTGCACCTGAGAGCCTGTTACTTGAGAGATCAAGAGATGATAGCTGGCGCAAAGTTGAGATGTTGTCAGGAATATGGCCACTGACTTGGTTTTTCGACAAGTTCAAAGTCACTAAACCGACCAACTTTGTGATTTGATCAGGGAATTCTCCATGTAAGTTGTTGCTGGAAAGGTCTATGCTAGTGACTAGGGAAAGGGTTTTGGTGTATTTTTGAGGACCGCCTTTTATGTTCATCACATAGCTTTCTTCATAGTACAGGCCTCTGTACTTCCCATAAAGTAGATATTGGTTTATGTATTGCTCCTTCGACATGGCTTCAAGATCTCCCAAAGTGACTGGAATGGCTCCAGTCAAGTTGTTATCTGCAAGGTCAAGAACTTGCAGCGACCTCAAGTTTGACAGACTGGATGGAATTTCACCAGCAAATGCATTTAACCTTAGGCTGAGTATTCGAAGTTCTGGAAAGCCGCCTCCAATCCACAGTGGAATATTACCTGATAGTCTGTTGTTTCCAAGATCCAATGTTTCCAAGCTCGATAAATTTTGCAAAGATAGCGGGAAGTTTCCTGTGAGGTTATTGCTGCTCAGGTGAAGCGACTGAAGCTGATTTAATTGACCTAAAGATTCTGGAATCACCCCGGATATACTGTTGTGACTAAGGTCTAGAGCCTTTAAGAATGAACAATTCCCTATACTTGAAGGAATGCTGCCTGCTAAGCTGTTGTGTGAAAGATCAATGACTTGAAGAGACAGCATATCTCCTATTGAGGCTGGGATATCTCCTGTCAATTGGTTGCTCGAAAGAGAGAGAAAGATTAGGTCTGGCATGGATTCAGTTAGGTTTTGTGGAATAGGACCTGAAAAGTGATTGCTGGAGAGGTCTAGTAACTCAATTCCCACGGTGGGAAGAGGAATAGGTCCTTCCAAAAGGTTGGAGCTGAAATCAACATCTGCAAAGGGAGCTACACTTAATGGATTTGGTAGACGGCCCTGTAGCTGATTGAAAGAAACATTTAGCTGTGATAGGTTGAATGATATTTCCCAAAACCATTCGGGTATGGTATCTGAGATGCTAGCATTTGCGAAATCTATAAACTTGACTTCCGTCTGAGTTCTAAGCCAAGCTGGAAAATAAGGACCCAAGTGACATGAACGAATATCAAGATTTTGGACCTGGAATGGAGGTACCCAACTGGAACTGACATTGAAAACAAATGAATTGGAAGACAGATGCAAGAACTTTAGTTTCTGAAGCCTTGAGAAATGCAGTTCAGTGATAAAACCGGAGAGATGATTAAGAGAGACATCCAAGCTAATCAACCGAGAAAGCTGCCCGAAACCATCAGGGAGACTCCCATTTAGTTGATTCCCGCCGAGTCCCAAAGCGGTTAGGTTACGCAAGTTACCTAAAGCAACAGGAATTGGACCTTGAATCATGTTATCGTCCAGAGAAAGTTCTGCAAGATTTTCAAGATGACCCAACCATTCTGGCAAATTGCCCACTAGACGATTGCCACTCAGTCTCAAGTATATTAAACTAGACAAGGGATTATTTGAAACACAATTAGCCCTTTCAAGAATTTCAGGCAAACTACCCGTCAAGTTGTTGCCAGATAAATCAAAATTTTTCAAGTTGCAAAGTTTGCCAATGGAGCTAGGAATCCCACCCTCGACGGAGTTGGAAAAAAGATCAAAGTTAGTCAGAGATGACATATTTCCTATGGAAGAAGGAAGTTTTCCGTGCAGTTTATTTGTGGCAAAATCAAGAACCTCTATGTTTTCCCAACTTCCACGAAACAACTGAGAGCAACTCGCAGAAAGATTATTGTTCATAGCAAGACTCAGGTACCGAAGGTTTGGTAGCTCACTAAAACCAAGGGGAATCCTACCATACAAACTGCAACTACTTAAATCAAGATAGGATAGGCTGCTAATATTAACAAGCCAGTCAGGGAACATTGAATTAAAGAAGTTGAAACTAAGGTCTATGACAGAAAGAGAAGTAAAATTAACAGGGCTAAGAGATAAAATGGAGCCAGATAGACCACAATTTGAGAGATGAATTTCAGCCAAACGTGGAAGCATGTTTAATACCTCAACCCAATTGGATCCTACTATGGAAAGGTCAACTCCATCCATGGCTAAATGTTTCAGTGAGACAAGACCCTTAACCCACTCAAGGCTACTAATAGTTAGACCTGAAAAGGGAGAAGAAACATCAAGAAACTGCAAGCTAGAGAGGTTTCCTAAGTTTGGAGGATATGCACCACTAAATCCAGCCTCTGATAGATTCAAATATCTCAAACTTCTCAAGGATCCTAAGAACTCAGGAATTGGGATATCATCAAATGTGTTGAGACTCAAGTCCAAGTACTGTAAGGACTTGAGTTTTAGCAATGAAGGTCTAATCTCCCCACTCAAGTTCCAATATCCATACCTGCTTGAAGAACCTTCAGAGCTTACTGGATATGGGTTGTGAAGATCGATGGCAATGACAGCTCCAGTAGTATTATCACACCCGATTCCCCTCCATTGACAACAGTTTGTCCCTTTCCATGACGAGAGCCGGTTCTCAGGATCTTCAAGTCCATTTTTGAAGTCTGTAAGAGCTACTACATCAGACAGAGAACAATGCTTGTAAAGGGTATCTCCATTACAACCAAATTCTCCTGTAAGGACATCAAGAATTGCAAGAATCAAACCAAGAATTGGAACTTTCCCCATTATCATTTCTAATTCTGAAGCTGCGGATTAATGCAAACAAAAACTTGTTATGTAAAAGGTGCCCTCCAGTTTCTTTAGGGAGTGAAAGTTTGACTTTCATGCGAGATAGGAAGGAAAACACGGTAATTTAGAGAATTAGAAATTAGTCAAAGAGCTGTAAATATTTTACTATGTTGATAAGGTTATGCATATAAAAATATTTAGGGAAGTTGGAAGTTTAAGGCAATTGAAATTAAAGGCACGGAGCTGGCAGCCGGTATTACAAAATTTCAATTTTGTTTGACATGATAAAGAGATTTGTGGACATAGTTAAGGTTTATTTTAATTAAAAACAAGCTTTAATGAATGCGTGAAGTTAAATAGTCATTCAACAAAGTCTATGTTCTGATTTTCCTATGTTCTATTTGAAGTTTTTCTGCGTAGTCGTCAAGTATTCTGTGATTAAGACAAGTGGGGTCAACGCTAACAATATGAAGTACCAGGTCTTACTTGAATTCATAATTGTCGCTATTCTGGCTGTTTTTATTTCTAAAAACAATTTCTCTAGATGACTCATCACGCTTAGAGTGGCAGAGTTCCTGTCAAATTATTATGTGACCAGGAGATGAAATGAGGAAGAGTTCCTATTTACACTTTCCATGTGCTTAGAATCTTGAACGATATCTAGCATCTGGTGATGCGATCTGCAGGCACCAAAGCAATTTCTCTGAGTTCTGATGTAGTAACACAAGGTGATGAGGTTGTACATCCTCAAATGATGATGTGATTCTTTCATAGCTGGTGTAAATATGGTGTTTGTTGGATAGTGATTGTTAGAGCACATATTATACGTTGAATAATTAAATCAAAAATGATTAATATGCAAGGTTGAGAAAGGAATCGCCCGCAGTAAAGTTTAGGTCATTAAGATGGAATCCAACCAAAAGTGCAGCCCATCTAATTCCACGTATATGTGTTCTAACCGTGGGAACCCTTAACCTTAGCTCTCATAGTTTCGAGGAATATATATATTTCTTATGTTCATATGTCAACGTTCAACAAGGATGATGCCGTCATTGTTGTTACCTCTTCTTTAGTAAGTAGAAGGTGGTCTGACTCTTTGGGTCAAAACCAAACCAGTTCTCCTATTAAGAAGCAATTTTCCTCAATAGTGGCTAAGCGTACATCTGCTCGGCTCAGATGAGATTGTGTCCATCCAGATTTAGTCTGGGTGTGCCTTCAAGAGAAGAAACCACTTGTACAGCCGCCACACGTCGATCCCTCAAGTTGTACACGCATCGTCTGGATGTATCGGAAAGGTTATTGCGTCAAGAAACGTAACTGCGCGCAGTGAAATACTACGTAAAGCAGGAATAATAGACAGGCTTGAATTGGACAGCAAAGCAAAGGCAATTTCTCTTGAGTTCTGATGTAGTAACGCAAGGGTTATTGTTCTCTTCTCACACCATAACTATGTGGTTCCTCACTATATGCCTCATTCTGTATGTAATTGGACTCCTTGCCATGTGTCCTCCAACCTTCACATTTTTCTCTCTATTTAGCTTTCCCAGGGAACATTGGGAGGTCCAAGAAATCCAAGTACAACAGTAACCTTCTTGCGTGTGTTTCCGCAGGTGTTAAATCTGGATGCACGTGCGCGTCTAATGTGCTCATGCATGTGTAAGATACACAATGTCCAGAAAAGGTTGCAACATTTGCAGTGGTGATCAGTAGCATTCAACTTGTATAGATGGCAATTTGAGATTGTCGATGAAATCTGAATGATGAATATAATTCATTCCCATAAAGATGTTCTTGTTTCTTTGAGTAAAATATACAGAAATTTATTCCAAGATGTTTAATTACATTATAAGCATCATAGGTCAGGCATTTTATTCTGACTTGTGCAGGTTATGAAGGATGTACAAAGAAGCTGATGATAAGAAAATACAAACAGAATAGCTCAGTAGATCTACACCAGTGGCTATTGTCACCATCTTGCTCCTCTCAAACATCTTTACTAAAAGAATCATGACAATAACGTGTCCCACTTTTGTCTTCAGTTCATCAAGTGAGCTGATTTTCATCCATTTTGGCCTTTCCTATAATCCAATAAAAATCATTCAATTTTTTTTTGCTAAACTTAACAAATTAGACGAGCAAAGAAACGAAAAGGAGAAAAAAGATCAGGATACTGCATTAAGGAAAAAAAATATTTATGAATTGCTGAGCTGCATGGAGACAAGTTGGAGATCTGATGCGTCCAGGTGCAAAAATACCTTGGCAAGAGAATAAGAGTGAACGTTTTTGCAAGTTTATTATATTTACCTTCAAGGCAAACATTCCAAACAAGGACGAGCCTTTAAGGGCACGATCAACGCTAGCAGGTGCATCAGGAGACACATTGCAGATGAATAATCCGTACAAGCCCATGCCAAATATTAGCATCACAGTCCCAGCAAGATAAACATCTACATAGAATGCATTATGTTAGGATACAAATTTATCTAGAAAAACTCCAAGGCAAATGAATTATTTGGAGATGCCAAACAAGTGCTCAAGTACAAATCAACATAACATCACGTGAGATGACATGTACAGGAAAACATGCATAGAGATAGTGGTGTTCGAGCTCTCGATTGTGAGTTCAGAAATTCCAATTGAATGGACGAGAAGAAGAATAAGGAAATTCGAACACCCAAGACATTGAAATGGGGTGAACATTAACTTTAGGGCCTCAGCATACACATCCGCTGTGGGTTTTGCACTATCATACTGTTGCAGTTGTTATTGCAGTCGGTATAATTTATATTTGAATTCAACAGTTATAATTTCTGAACTCCTATGATAATAACTAATAATCAATTTAAAACAGTGGAAAAGGAAAAGTTGGATTTAACATGGCAAAATGAAAACCATGGCAATACAGTTGGTAACTTGATATTCTGCTGAATGAGACCGAATTGATGAGATGGATATATGTAGTGAAGTTCACTTCTGCATCTTATAACTGCCATCCAAATGTTACAGACTACTGATCCACAGAGGTGCTGCATCTTTATACAAAACAATTTCATCATAAGATGCACAATGTCCTTTTCTTTTTGTGGATAAAAATGCACTACTTAAAATGGATAATCCATGTAAAAGCTGCCGAAAAATTAGAGCATATCTATAGCATTGCATCTTACCAATAGCTTCAACTAAGCGTAGAACCATCTGTCCTGTATGAACTCCTTTGACACAGCTTGTCCAATAAACTTTGTATGCATCAACAATATAAACACAGCCCTGAAAATATTACAAGTAGTCAGTATTTGGGTGTAGTTTTATGCTATCATGGACGACTAAACTTTGCTCACAATCCATTAAAAACCACTCTAAACTCCTCTGATTAAAATAGTAAACTTCCCACCATGCTTCCTAGTAATACACCTGTTATGCTTTCAATATTTACTGCATTTCAATGGATGAAGGGTACTAGAAATTACATTCAGAAAGCACAAGAGGGAACCAGCAAGCGAGCCTACTACAGCCAGAAGCGCCAAGAAGCGAAAGTCAAAAATTGTCTGTTTAATAATAATAGACATGAAAGAAAAGCAGTGTTAGACTTGATTATGTCTAAAGAAAGAGAAACAAAAAATCATGAGATACTGAAGAAATGAAGAACTACTAAAGACCATCAAGACCAAAATTACATTTCCAAGTGCTTTTAACAAGAATTATAATGTTAAATTGCCCTTAATTTACATGGCATACAAACAGATTTCTCTTCATTACCTATTACTTTTGAATCAATTTGGCCAAACAAGTGCATAACTGAGATAAAAGGCATTCAAGTTCTATAATATCGTTAAAAATTTTCACCATTTTCAAGAATGATAAATTTCCACAACTCTTCACAAAAAAATTGTTAGACTTTCCATGTCTAAGCACAAAAGACAAAAAAAAAAAATTATATAGTGAAAGAATTACAAATTCTAGCAAGACAAGCAAAAATAAAAATAAAAATAAAAAAAGAAGAATTTTTTGTTGTTTTTACCCTCTCAATGTTTGACTCAGTGGAACGAAGGAAGTGGACAACTGGGTTAGCAGATGAATTAGCAAGCGAGTAGTTGAAGCTTGAATCAGGAGGAGGTCCAGATGACTCAACCAAAGGCGTTGATGGATGTTTCTTGGAGGAAACTGATGCGGATGGGACTGATGATTCCGGGGAAGGTGGACTTAAAGTAGCTAAGGGGCATAATATTCGCCTCTTAAACTTTAAAGGGCGTGGAATTTGGGTAGCTGATGTAGAGAGTGAAGAAGTGGAGATTGAAGCAAAGAGCGCCATTTACTGCAGAAAGCCAGCCAGAAAGAGGGAGAGAGTTGCTGATCCACGCTAGCAAGTGTGTGTTGAGAATTTAGATTTTTTTACGAGGGTCAAGTAGATGTTGGATTTTTTCGTTGATAACTGAAGTATGTAAATTTGTAATAGCATAAGCAGCAACTGTTGAAACTTCAAACATTGTAGGACCCTCGAATTGACAGGTCTATAATGCTCAGCTTAGCACATCCGCTCAATTTCCATGTGCAAAAGACAAGCGAAAGTCTGCGTAGACGGTGAGTGCATTTTTTACTTCTCTTATTCCCCCTTTTCTTCACCTTTTCTCTTTAAGTAGGGCTATCAATAGATCTGTCTTAAATCGAATTCTATCCGATTTCGGTATAATTAAATAAATTTGATAGGTAAAATTTTATTATTCGAATTCTATTATAATTCAAATTTGGTACTCATTTGTTAAATAGATCACATATGGATCTATTTCAATTCGATCCTATAATAATATGGTCCAAAATTAATATTAAAATTATTTTCGTAATTTTATGATATAATAAACTTTTATTTAAATGTTAAATTATGTTCTATACTTCATTCTTTTTTTCTCTATATTGATGGCTCTGTTTTCAAACATAATGAGTTATATATATATATATCAAGTTAATTTTGTGACAAATCCTATGAATGTACAATAATAATAATAATAATAAATGAGTTATTAATAGTATTATACTTATGTTTCTAATTTATAAAGACTTGATTGAATCTACAAATTTTCTCTCTTTCAAAATTGTTATTTATAAAATATTAAGATTTTCGTACATAGCAATCAAGTTATGCCTAGAATAGGCATTTTTTTCAACTTTATCATACTTTTTGTCAAATTTAAATTAATTTTGATCTTCAATGTAAATTTGTATCATAATTATTTGATGTTGTTATTTTTAATGATGAGATATTTTGAATTTTTTTATTTACATATTAAATATTATTATAACATATTTTCTTATGCATACAAAGGTTAAAACTCACTTATATCAAATATGATTTTGAATATAGTCAATATTTTTTATTTTAAAAAATAAAGGATAAATATCCGAATTCGATTTTAATCTAGATCGACAATGACAAAACCCAAATTTAAATTCTTAAAAGCCAAATCGATCTATTTATTAAACTAACATGATACAATCTTGTATGATATGATCCGAATCCGATCCGTTAATGACCCTTTTGAACTTGATAGTCTTTTTTTATTTTATTTTTTCAAACAATTTTATAAAGTAAAAGTAATAAGAATTTTTATTAAAATTCATAAACATCGAAGTAGTTGAAGCTTGAATCAGGAGGAGGTCCAGATGACTCAACCAAAGGCGTTGATAGATGTTTCTTGAAGGAAACTAATGGGGATGGGACTGATGATTCCGGGGAAGGTGGACTTAAAGTAGCTAAGGGGCATAACATTCGCCTCTTAAACTTTAAAGGGCGTGGAATTTGGATAGTCGATGTAGAGAGTGAAGAAGTGGAGATTGAAGCAAAGAGTGCCATTTATTGCAGAAAGCCAGACAGAGAGAGAGAGAGAGTCGCTGTGTTTGTTGAAAGTTGAGATTTTCTTGAGCGAGTCAAGTAGATGGATTTTTCTGTTTACAAATGAAGTAGGTAAATTTGTAATAACATAAGCAGCAACCGCTGAAACTTTAAACAGTGTAGGACCCTCGGATTGACAGGTCTATAATGCTCAGCTTAGCACATCCGTTCAATTTCTAAAGTAGCACGTGGGTAATAAAAAAAAAGATTGCGTATATGATTTTTTTTTCCCTCAAAAACAAAATTCAGATACTGCGTTTGCCGGGAGTCGAACCCGGGTCTATTGCTTGGAAGGCAATTATCCTGACCGTTGGACTACAAACGCCTGTTGCATAGCTTTGCACGTATATTTTATATATTGCATATAGCCAGTTGGTTCCCGTGCGAAACCAAAAGGGAACCGGCAAGTGACCCGTTACGTGTAGCGTGCTATGCAACGCGAAGCATGAAATGCTGCAGCAGGAACTGTTAGATGTGCTTGGAAGGCTCTGCCCACAAAATGTGTCTAGCTGGTGTCTTCAATCGGGCTGCTCTCAAATAATTTAGAGTGTAGTTTCTTAATAACCAACTAGTGAGTTCATGGGCGATTGAAGGCTTCTGTGCTGAAATTAGCAGTGTTACTAATAGTTACAGCACAAACTTCTACCAAAAAGATGAGGTGAGGTGAAAGGAGGAAAATCCAGCTTCCCCTCCCATATATGAGATACTTCACATAATACACTGTCACATTTCATCTCTAATGGGAAATCATCATATCATTGAACTTAAAAAGACTACAAATAATCTCAGGTCTTGTTCCCAGCAGATATCTGCTTGGCAGTTTAATACAAGAACAAAAAAAATGCACAAGCCTTTTTGCTTTGTTCTTTTCAAATTTATCTTCACAAGCTCTATTTTTGAAAAATGGAGTCTTCTATACAGCATATGCCTTCAAAAGTTCCACTATTCTTTTATGTCTTAATTTTGATAATGCAATGGATATGATCTGTCGGATCCTCTCCCTTGACAACTTAACTAGTCTCCCTATTTCCTCACAGGACTGCGGGGTCTGTCCATTAATTCCAAAGTGTAATCTCAATATATGTGCTTCTCTTTCTGTAAGCACTATCTGAAATAGATACTCTAACTCTTGCTTCAACAACTGTTTTTTAACCATGTTTTCTGGTATTGTTTCATCCGGGCCTGGTATGATCTCCTGCCACAGAAGTCAATTGAATTTAAGATTAGTTATTGTAGACAACAGATTACTATAAGGATCTCAGACTGAAGTGATTTTTTAGCAAATCCTATCAGGATTCTTGGCATGTATCTTAGAATATGGAATTATCTCAAATAAAGCATGTTCTACATAGCATGCTTTTAACCATTTTTCAGAAGGATCCATTTCATATAAACCTTTGGAAATAAAGAGCATCATTCAATGAACTTGTTTATGGGTAAAGCCATGTTCAAGATTTGTTTGAAGCTAACACTAGTCCTAACTTCACACAAGGATCAGTCTCATAAATTCAAGAGCCTCGTAAAATCCGTCATCATCCTTTTTCATCTTTGCAGGTAACCTTCAAATGAGGTGGTGTTCCCTCCAATTTCAGAACAAATCCAACTGCTTATCTGCCTACTAATTCAAGAAAACTCATAAAAGGTGTGATTTGGACAGACTCTAGAACTACGGCCTTGGAGCTAAAACAACTCATGATTCTGACTTGCATCAGAAGACGAATGACCACACTTCAACTAACAAGGTCACCCTTAATCAATTGAGCTATAAAGAGAACTGCAACTTACAAATTTAAGAAAGTAGTGTCAAATTTCCATTGATCTTAAAATTAAAAACTGAAGGGTCATACCTGGAGTGTCATTCGATTTTGACCCAATACTGCTTGATCCAATGAAATGGGGGATCTACTCCTCTCAAAACCAAGCCTCACTGTAGAAACTTTCATATTGAGCACTTTGGCAATCTCATCATAGGATGCTGACCGCCTTAATTTGTTACTCAAATCATTGTTAGCTTCTGCAATTTTTGCCACCAGCATCCACCATCTTCTCTACACATAACAAGCTAATCATACATACTACCAGCTTATCTCCTGAAAATCATTCTACTCTACAGTAAAGCAATAGGAAACAAATTGATATTTTTGAAAGATGAAATTTCATCATGGGAACTCAAACTAATCAGAACACTTTGAGAACTAGATGCCATCTCAATCTACATGAACAAATAACATATATATCACAACCAATCTTCTTACTGATGGAACAAGTACTCCAAGACTGTAAGAAAGGGAAGAACAAGGGGAAAAAGTGTCACATTATAAGACACCTAAAGTTGCAAGGAAAATTGGTCATCATGCTTATATGATCTTGAACCATGAAGACTTGAAGCACCAATTTACGTTACTAATTAGAAAAGCATAATGAAAAACAGGATGCCCTATTAGAGTGCAATTCAAGCAGGAAATGAGACTAGGTATTCTAGATCCAACTCTTCTCTCCAACCATAGCAAAAATGAAACAATTGCTTTTAAATGGCAGTATTGCACTGTGAAATCTGATTTATGAGACTGTGGAAAGATTCCACCCTCTTCTTCATTCATCTATTTTTATATCCATATATTTATGCAGGAATATTCACCTTGAAGTTAATGCCACTTCAAGAGCACAAAATCTCTAGCTCTGTCGCTAGAAACTCTCAAAGAAACATTTTCAATGGTTAGATTATCTCCAACTGAATGGAAAGCTTGGAGATTTCCTTGAATAAAAATGTTTCATATGTTGGTCCTCACCGGTAATCTAACCATTCTAGACTTGTTTGATATCGCTGTAAGGATGGCTTCTTTAATCCACCAGTAAACATATGTTGATAGCTTATATCCTCTCTGTGGATCAAATCTCTCTGCCCCTCGAATAAGGCCAATGCTCCCTTCCTGCTACATATAAATCTTGTTTATTAGGACACCATTGGAAGGAATATTAAAGTGGAAATAATAATAGTATTAAGAACCTGAATAAGGTCTTGAAGGCTCAATCCTTTGTCTTGATAACTTGTGGCAATAGAGACAACAAGCCTGCGGTAGCTGTGAGTTATCCTCTCTCGTGATTCCCTTCCTTTACACAATATCTTATCTAAACTAGTCTTTTCCATCTGTAAGGCCTTGGCCAACTGCATTGAGGTTGGATCAAGCTCTTGAGCTTCTCCAATTCTTCTTCTTGCTGCTTCTATTCTTGCTTCGTGCTGTTAATTTCAAGAACTTAGATATTTGAGATGGTTAAATTTAGATTAAGCAAGAGAAGCTGCTAACAAATGGAGCACTAAGAGTAAAAGTTTCAACATAAGACATCTCCTTTAGGTAACTAGCACTACCAATCAAACCAATGAAGTACGGAAGTTCCTAGATATTACTAGGAAGAAGAACCAGCCAAAAGACCTATGGACCTCTGGTATACGCATATTAAATGGAAGTAGAAGCAACCGCTATCAACCATCTCTGTGTAGCACAGACTCATAAAACATGAATTATGCAGTACACCCGGTAGTCAAAACAATTACAGTGAACTGATTCAAAAAAAGAGCATAACCTTGTTAAGATAGCATGATGTTTTTATTATTATTATTATTTATTTATTTTGGTTCATCGCTTCATAGTTCCATTGTTCAAGTGACAAAAATGTCATTTTTTTGTCTGCAGTCTAACACCATAATTCCAATAGCACATAAAAAGACCAGCCATCAGGCTCTGAAGCCCATTGGTAGGATAAGGTAGAATCAGACAGAGAGACTTCATAATTGAACAAAATTAAATGTGTACAAAGAGTTTGCTGCCATTTCTTAATTTGGTTGCACAACTTATGCACAAAATTCTCTTTCTTTGTTATAGTAATCAATTTCCAAAACGATACTTGAATGGATGGTCCAGGTGCCTATATCAAGTTGAACTTGGCCATGAATTGCTATGAGTATTCAATCATACTCTGCCAAATGACCATTTGAATACCTTAGCGATTGCTTTTAGTCTTAAGTGTTCTATGCATTAAATTGTCTAAATAGAGAGAACAAAGAAGTGGGGTTTTTTTGTTGGCGGAGGAAACTAAATTAAGCATACCTTGAGGCACATCGAAAACTCTGCTTCCTCTTTTGGGCTCAAATACCCTTTCTTCACAGACTCAAACATTACTCTCTTGTATTCATGACCAACATCCCTCTCCCCATCATCTACCACCGAAGACTGAACAAACCCTTTTCTTCTTTTCCTCCTCCTCTTCCTCCTCGCTTTTAAACCACCATTGTCGCTTTCTCCATCAAACAACACCTCTCCTCCAGTCGTCCAAGAACTCAATGCCACATTCTCAGTTGCTTTTACAATGTCAAGTACTGGTTCGTTGGAGATTGAAGTTACACCAAGCTTAAAGGAGGGAGGAGAAGAGGTTGGTGATTGGTGAGATAGGGTATACTTGATAGATGGGCTGGTTGAGAATATGGTTGCAGATGATGAGCATATGGTAGTGATGATAGCCATGAAGAAATGGAGGTGTGTAACCAATCATCATAGAGGGAGTGGAAGACAGAGATTTAAACTAAGAATGTTGGGGTTGATAAGTTCTTGTGGATATTTCGTTCTCGATATTTTTGGACCATGCTTGTCTTCATGAAAAAGACAATAATATCCACTCCTTTTCTTTAAAAAAAAAAATCGAAGAAATGTTTATATATATATATATTAATCTCTTGCTTTCTAAGGTAAATGATTATGAGTTTTTAATCTAAGTAAATTATGAATTAATCCCAGAAATTTTTCCAAAAAAAATAATAATAATAATCTCTTTAGTTTCAATAACTAATTAATTAGTCTCTATATTTTTTTATTTTTTTAATAAATAAAAAAAATAAAAAAGAATATATAGAAAAATTGATGAAAAAATAGTTTTTTATAAAAAAATAATATTAAATTAATCATCATCCACGCATACTAATTAAGAAAATAAAAGGAAGGGAGGGAAGGATGTGAGATACGCCATCTATTTCTTGGCCAACCACTTCACTAATACCCCATCGGCATTGAAATCTATCATTTAAAAAAGTCGAAGTATTTCTACAGATGCTGTATAAGTAAATAATGTTGCAAATTTTGATGACAAGTATTTCCAACGATACGGAGAAGCGTGTTGTGCGTGTAAACAATTTTTTTCCCTATTTAAAAGCCATTTGAGCGATTCAAACATAAATAAATAAACCCAAGTAATAGAAAGGGGATTTTCTAAATAATCCCTAATCCATGTAGTTTATTGTGAGTCCTTACTCAAAAATCAAAATCAAAATTTTGAGAACTTTTACAATTGATTAAACCGTTTAGTAATAAATTATGGTGTTATGAGTAAATTTATTATTGTGCTATTTTAATTAAAATGACCATAAAGTATGTAAATTTATTATAAGATTTTTAGTATATAAATTAATAAAAAAAAAACTAACATTTACTTTTAAATTTTGCTGGACAAAAGAGTGGACTTTTTTTTTTTTTTTTGGTTGCAAGGTATGAGTAAATTATAAATCAATTCTTCTCATTTTGAGAAATGAATTAATTAGTCCATCTCATGTCCAAAAATAATTATTTAGTCCTCATATTTTTTTAAAATTTACTTATGATTTGGTCATTTTACTCTTTTTTAATTTATTTTGATTTTTTTAAGAAATAGAAAAAATAAAAAAAAATGAAAAGATTGATGAGAAAATAAGAGATCTTGTGAAATAAAAATAATGTTAAATCAAATATGGTCAGCATTGATTGAAAAACTAAATACTGGTTTTTGAAACAAAAAGGACTGATTAATTTGTTTCTTAAAGTTAGTGGGACTAAATTATAATTTACTCTGCAAAGTACTAAGCTAACTCAATTTTGCAAAGACAATATATACACTGTATTTTCAGTCTCAAGTTTATTTTGATTTTTTGTGTAAATGTAGGTGATGAGCATTTAAAATTGGTGCAAGTATATAAAGGCTAAGGTAAGGCATATTTTTATTTCTTTAAAAAAAGAATATATACAACTTAAATAACAAGCATTAAATAGCATCAAGCTTGAGCAATCGCCTTCTTCACCGGCATATCTTATACCACATCAACTTTGCTTGCTTCAGTCCTGAACAAAAAGATGAGCATCCCATCTTTCACTGCTGTTAACGCTCAAGATCTCCTAGGCCATCAACAATTGCAGTGATATAATGCCTTTCTTCCATCGCTGCTACTTCCTTGACCTAAGCGCATTAAAATGTAACCAAGAAAAAAAAAGATCATAAAAATGTGGGCAAATAATATCAATCATCCTTAGTGTATATATAGAGATTATAAGAATGATAATACTTTGAAGAACAAAGAATTTGATTAATAATTCTGTAACATGAGTTCTCTTATACTATGTTGCAGTTAACCATGAAAAATTTGCTATCGAAATTCAAAGCTCAATTTTTTTATTTTATTTTTTTTTAAATTCCACTAGGATGGAAAGGTGCATGCCGATGAGAAGCTAGTCTCTCAGCAGCATTCTTCTTCCCTCCTGATCTGCAATGCCAACAACAAAATTCAAATTATACTCCATTTCTATCGCTATTCATATGGCTAAAATTGATTGTCGGTAACCACATAAACAAAAATAATTAAAAACTATCTACATTAATTACCTTCGAGTTATGCATAAACACATGTTACATTATCAAATTCTATCCAATAACACACTAATGCATTTTCATTTTCCACCTTACTAATTAACATTACAAAACACACTCACAACCAACTCAAATAAAAACAACAAATAAAACAAGATAAAGTCTAAAACACAAACCAATAAAGTAAACGACTTTTAAAAGCTCAAACCTCTAAGAAGGTCTTCATTGGCGAGTGAAAATTCTCACAAAAACGACTCATCTTTTGTGCCCGATTATGCTCACGACTACTTATATATGTATTGGTGTATAACACGAATGGACAAGATTAACCAAAAACCTTTTGTCATAAGTATACTCAAACACAAAAAGACATAGGTTGTTTTCGTGAGAATTTTCACTCTACTCGTATATGTATTGGCATATGACCCGAACACAAAAAGACATAGGTTGTTTTCGTGAGAATTTTCACTCTACCTGTATATGTATTGGCATATAACCCGAATAAACGAGACTCGGTCGAAAACCTAATATTTAAAAGGCCCCGAAAAATGGGTGAAAGTCCACAATTGGCAATAAAAATCAACATTTAATGACAATTTACAAAATGAAAATAATGGGTCGACATGGAAATTGAGATAACACAAATTGGTATCAACAAATTGTTGACCTTGCATTAAGTGAGCTAGTCCTTAGGCAAATTTTCTATCAATATTCAAGATTCGAATCCTAGAGTCGTATTTGTTAAACGAGGTTAAACTTTATCGCTTCCGTCTTAAACAAGATTAGTCTTATATCTAATATGAGATAGAAATACATGAAAAAACAATAATAATAATTTATTTAAAAAAAAAAAGATAACACAAATTGATTGGTGTCAAAATCTCAAAATTTTCGGATCATTCTTGAAAATTTTGGATATGATTATTCGATGATAGATTTTAAAGATTTTAAAATTGTAGAATTTTTATAGTAATGTAAAATCTGGATTGTCCTTGCTATGTATGTTAGAAAAAACAACTTAGAATAATATGGTAGGTCCACTTTGAGTTTTGGGATTTTATTGCTATATGTTACCAAAGGTGGCAATCAACACAGGTTTGTTTGTTCGGCAAGGATGAAAAAAAGGAATTATATTTTTTCCATTTTTTCATGGTGGGGTCTACTATAGTCCGAAAGATGAAAACGAAAAGTTAGTTTGTTCCCAAATAAAAATTGTGTTAGGTGAATTTTAGGCAAATTTTATTCTAATCCCTATATATATATATATATATTGATGAAATTAAAGTTTACAAAATTAATAAGTCTTCATCCATGAATTACGATATATAAATTAAAATCTCTATATCAAACCACATAAACAACAAAATAAAGTCTAAGTTTGAAAACATACATAAAAAATTTCACACACATATATATATTGAAAACAAATTTTAGGTTTGGGGAGCCTCTCATCCAGTCCGATAAAACCGGATAATGTAATTTTGCTACTCAATGGATATAATGGATTGGATTAGATTATCTTGACTACATATTAGAAACTACAACATTTTTTATTATAAATAAAAGGGTTAAAATTCCAAAAAACAAAACTACACACGACAATGAGAGGGTATAGATACCTTAATGTTATCCTGAAATGACAGACTTAGCGTTAATATTAATAAATTTTTAATACATAAGGGTCAAAGTGGAATATTACTAAACAAAAGGGATAATAGTTATAGTTTATCGGTAGTAATTTGTGGGCGGTACTTTGAAATGCTGGAGCAAAAGTTGTAGACTTTTGGGCCATTAAACTTTGTTACGTATATGTATATGGCTTTCAAAATAAGCCTATTGAAAAAGAAGAAAGTAAAACTTTCTTTTTTTATTTTTATGTTTTCATATATTTTCTCTCTTATTTGTAAGGGAATGGAGATTTAGATATATTTATGTGTGTGTTAAATCGAGTTGCTATGATTAAATTTGAATTGTTTAGATATTTAATGACTCGAAATTTTGTCTTTTTAAAATTTATCTTTATGTTATCCCTTCTTTTTCTTCTTCTCTCTCTCTCTTTTTAATAATTGTTTAATTATGGATCTTTGGCTCAAAAACACATCAATTTTATAAAATTGAAATGAAGAAGGAGTATTAAACGAAGTCTAGCCCAAAGTTAATAATAATAACAACAAAAGATTATAATATACCATTTTTTCATTTTTCATTCTTTATTTTTGTTGAACTTCCTAAACTCCTCGACAATATTGAATACACTATAGCATCTTTATTTTTATTTATTTGAGATTTTGAGAATCCTAGGTTTTGTAAGAGAGAAGAAATCTATGTTGAACACCCTCTCAACTTTGTTTGCTTCAATTTTGAACAAGGGGTGAGCATCCTTTACAAATGTTAACTTTGAAAATCTCTTTTGTCATCATCACTATTACCCGAAGCACTACTACCTATGATTGTCGAATCACCGTCCCGATTTTTAGATTCTGCTTTGTATCACTATGACCCTCGGCCACAACAAGAAGCTCCATTTTATCTCTTCCCAACAATATAAGGCATGTCCCGTAAAGAAAAAAGATGCTCAACTTTATTTACTTCCATGAAAAAAAATCCCGAAAAGAGTAGTTTTTTTTTTTATATCACACCAAGAAGGGAAAGCACAAAGATTTCATGTATACAATATTACGGTGTTCGATACATGTTTCTTTACTCTTTATGAACAAACATATCACAATTACTTTATAATAAAGAATAACATTTCAATTAAACAAATAATAATAACAATAAAGTTCAAACAATTAGAAAGAAGAATGTTATCCTTAAAATACCTCTAAAAGCAACATTTCTTCATTTGCGTTCCAAT